ACAAATACAAATAAAGATAAAAAAAGGGGGAACATGACTGAAAAGCAGCACAAATACAATAGGTTGACAAACAGTGTTCATTAAAAAAAAATAACAGACATGGGTTGACAATAGAGGGGTAAGGTAGGTTACAGGGATTTATTAGGTAGTGTTTAGTTTTTATCTTAAACTGGTTGAGAGAGGTACAGTCTTTAACATGGTTGGGAAGGTCATTCCACATTCTGGGTCCCTTGATTTGTAGAGCATTTCTAGTTTGATTAAGTCGTACTCTAGGAATATCAAAACTGTATTTATTTCTGGTGTGGTGCTCATGGGTTCTGTTACAACCTTCAATGAAGCTTTTGAGATCAGGATTGGCATTATAGTTTAGTGTTTTATATATGTATAATACACATGAGAGAATGTGCAGTGACTTAATGTCTAACATATTCAGAGATTTGAGTAGGGGTACCGAGTGGTGTCTGGGGCCAGAGTTGGATATTGTCCTAATAGCAGCTTTGTGTTGAGTAATTAGAGGACGTAAGTGATTTTGGGTAGTAGAGCCCCAAGCACAAATACCATAGTTGAGATATGGATAGATAAGGGAGTAATAGAGAGTCACCAGGGCAGGGCGGGGTACATAATATCTGATCTTAGAAAGAATGCCCACAGTTTTTGAAACTTTTTTTGATATATTTAGAATGTGTCCCTGGAAATTCAGCTTCTGGTCAATGAGAATGCCAAGGAATTTGCCATCTAATTTGTTACAAATTTGGGTATTGTTTATTTTGAGATTTATTTGATTAGAGGATTTATTGCCAAACAGAATATAGAAAGTTTTGTCAATGTTGAGGAAGTTAACAGCAGTAGGATGTTCAGGCTCGCAGAGGTCAATATTAAAGTCCCCTGCGATAATTAGATGGTTTTTGTTCAGTCTGTTCTCTAGTATTAGATTTCTAAGGTTTGAGTTGAATTCAGTCACATCAGTGTTAGGAACCCTGTAGACAGCTCCCACAGTCAGGACAGCCTCGCCACCCTTGACTCTGAAAGAGGTAAATATATACTCTCCACAAGGGTCTCTAGATTTAATTACTTTTAAGCAAGTCAGTTCTTGGTGGCAGTAAAGAGAAGTACCACCACCTCTTTGTATAGGACGACAGTTGTGAATGGCTGAGTAGTTAGGTATGTTGTAGAGTTGAGTAGTGTCCTCTTTTAACCACGTTTCAGTAAACACAACAAAAGAGAATTTGTTGTCAACTGTTTGAATCAGGGCATTAACATCATCAAAGTGTTTGCTTAGAGATCTTACATTCAAGTTACTTACAGAAACATTGTGATTACACGCTAAAACATTGTTTACATCATGTGCTGTATAATACCTGCAATTTTGATCATTAAAGTGATGATTGTCATAGATACTAGATAAGAAGTTAGGTCTATAATAGTTTGCATAAGAGGGCTGTTATACAGGAAAAGCTAAAAAAGACAATTATAAAAGAACTAGATATGAAAAAAAGAATATATAAAGCTATACACAAAATGTGATACACAATACACAGGTTGCTTAAAGGTACTTTCAGGTACACTGAACGTAATAATTTGCACTAATGATCAAAATTTCACAGGCAAAGTCAAGAGCACAATAGAGCAAGGGTGGTGAGGCTAGGCAACCTGGGTTACAAGGGTGGTGAGGCTAGGCAACCTGGGTTACAAGGGTGGTGAGGCTAGGCAACCTGGGTTACAAGGGTGGTGAGGCTAGGCAACCTGGGTTACAAGGGTGGTGAGGCTAGGCAACCTGGGTTACAAGGGTGGTGAGGCTAGGCAACCTGGGTTACAAGGGTGGTGAGGCTAGGCAACCTGGGTTACAAGGGTGGTGAGGCTAGGCAACCTGGGTTACAAGGGTGGTGAGGCTAGGCAACCTGGGTTACAAGGGTGGTGAGGCTAGGCAACCTGGGTTACAAGGGTGGTGAGGCTAGGCAACCTGGGTTACAAGGGTGGTGAGGCTAGGCAACCTGGGTTACAAGGGTGGTGAGGCTAGGCAACCTGGGTTACAAGGGTGGTGAGGCTAGGCAACCTGGGTTACAAGGGTGGTGAGGCTAGGCAACCTGGGTTACAAGGGTGGTGAGGCTAGGCAACCTGGGTTACAAGGGTGGTGAGGCTAGGCAACCTGGGTTACAAGGGTGGTGAGGCTAGGCAACCTGGGTTACAAGGGTGGTGAGGCTAGGCAACCTGGGTTACAAGGGTGGTGAGGCTAGGCAACCTGGGTTACAAGGGTGGTGAGGCTAGGCAACCTGGGTTACAAGGGTGGTGAGGCTAGGGTTACAAGGGTGGTGAGGCTAGGCAACCTGGGTTACAAGGGTGGTGAGGCTAGGCAACCTGGGTTACAAGGGTGGTGAGGCTAGGCAACCTGGTGAGGCTAGGCATCCTGGGTTACAAGGGTGGTGAGGCTAGGCAACTAGGCAACCTGGGTTACAAGGGTGGTGAGGCTAGGCAACCTGGGTTACAAGGGTGGTGAGGCTAGGCAACCTGGGTTACAAGGGTGGTGAGGCTAGGCAACCTGGGTTACAAGGGTGGTGAGGCTAGGCAACCTGGGTTACAAGGGTGGTGAGGCTAGGCAACCTGGGTTACAAGGGTGGTGAGGCTAGGCAACCTGGGTTACAAGGGTGGTGAGGCTAGGCAACCTGGGTTACAAGGGTGGTGAGGCTAGGCAACCTGGGTTACAAGGGTGGTGAGGCTAGGCAACCTGGGTTACAAGGGTGGTGAGGCTAGGCAACCTGGGTTACAAGGGTGGTGAGGCTAGGCAACCTGGGTTACAAGGGTGGTGAGGCTAGGCAACCTGGGTTACAAGGGTGGTGAGGCTAGGCAACCTGGGTTACAAGGGTGGTGAGGCTAGGCAACCTGGGTTACAAGGGTGGTGAGGCTAGGCAACCTGGGTTACAAGGGTGGTGAGGCTAGGCAACCTGGGTTACAAGGGTGGTGAGGCTAGGCAACCTGGGTTACAAGGGTGGTGAGGCTAGGCAACCTGGGTTACAAGGGTGGTGAGGCTAGGCAACCTGGGTTACAAGGGTGGTGAGGCTAGGCAACCTGGGTTACAAGGGTGGTGAGGCTAGGCAACCTGGGTTACAAGGGTGGTGAGGCTAGGCAACCTGAGGCTAGGCAACCTGGGTTACAAGGGTGGTGAGGCTAGGCAACCTGGGTTACAAGGGTGGTGAGGCTAGGCAACCTGGGTTACAAGGGTGGTGAGGCTAGGCAACCTGGGTTACAAGGGTGGTGAGGCTAGGCAACCTGGGTTACAAGGGTGGTGAGGCTAGGCAACCTGGGTTACAAGGGTGGTGAGGCTAGGCAACCTGGGTTACAAGGGTGGTGAGGCTAGGCAACCTGGGTTACAAGGGTGGTGAGGCTAGGCAACCTGGGTTACAAGGGTGGTGAGGCTAGGCAACCTGGGTTACAAGGGTGGTGAGGCTAGGCAACCTGGGTTACAAGGGTGGTGAGGCTAGGCAACCTGGGTTACAAGGGTGGTGAGGCTAGGCAACCTGGGTTACAAGGGTGGTGAGGCTAGGCAACCTGGGTTACAAGGGTGGTGAGGCTAGGCAACCTGGGTTACAAGGGTGGTGAGGCTAGGCAACCTGGGTTACAAGGGTGGTGAGGCTAGGCAACCTGGGTTACAAGGGTGGTGAGGCTAGGCAACCTGGGTTACAAGGGTGGTGAGGCTAGGCAACCTGGGTTACAAGGGTGGTGAGGCTAGGCAACCTGGGTTACAAGGGTGGCGAGGCTAGGCAACCTGGGTTACAAGGGTGGTGAGGCTAGGCAACCTGGGTTACAAGGGTGGTGAGGCTAGGCAACCTGGGTTACAAGGGTGGTGAGGCTAGGCATCCTGGGTTACAGAGAAAAAATAGAATAAAAATTCTATAGTAATGTAAACTTAATGATAATTTAAGTAATACAAACTTAATGGGAACTTAGGAAAGTAAAAATGAACTAGAATAATTAATAACAATAGATGACCAATAAAAGTCAAAAAGCAATTTAGAAATCTATATAGCAAATAGCTTACTTACTATAATATTATAAGTACACTATAGTTGAATACTAAAGTTACACTAAAACAAACTGTAGATTAAATAGAGATACACTCGGGTACACTGAATGATAAAGTTTATACTAGAGGACACAGGCAAAGCCCCTGGTGTATTATGGAACAAGGGAGTAAAAAAAGAAAAAAAGAGACAATAATAAAGATGACAATTTTTAACAAATAAAGTTAAAACTTTTGAAAGGAAAAGCAGAGCTAAAGTACACATTGGTAGTTAAATGAGATTATAAATTAAATTCTGGCTATACAGCAGCTATCCCACAGTCATTCAGGAAAGAATTGAGGTGAGATTCAGTGGTTATTACATAAGTTTTTCCAGTGTCAGTCTTCCTAGCTATAATTTTATCATCTCGCACAAAACAGTGTTTAATGACAGGGGAATTTTTGCAGAATCCACGCAGTTTATGTAAGAGATTTTGTGTGAACCTGCTCAGACATTCATTCACATAAACAGTGGATTTACTAGCGACTGCAGATTTGATAAGGTCTGCCTTGCGGGAGCAGCTATCTAGACTATCAACATATAATAGAAACAAGTAAAAGTAAAATGAAGATCACTAGAATTAGATAAGAAGGATACAGAAGACAAGTTAAACAAAATAAAAATAAAAATAAAGAATTAATAATGTATAAGGAGCGTGTGTGCGTCGCGGCGCAGTTGTCAGGTTATACACCCACCTACAGACACACCAGCCACATAACACATACACATTAGTACACACACAACAGTAAGAGAGAGAGAAGGAGAGTAGGGTGTAGGAGCGTGTATAAGGAGGCAGTATAAGGAGGGTGTATAAGGAGGCAGCATGCGGGCGTCGCGGCGCAGTTGTCAGGTTATACACCCACCTACAGACACACCAGCCACATAACACATACACAACAGTACACACACAACAGTAAGAGAGAGAAGGAGAGTAGGGTGTAGGAGCGTGTATAAGGAGGCAGTATAAGGAGGGTGTATAAGGAGGCAGCATGCGGGCGTCGCGGCGCAGTTGTCGGGTTATACACCCACCTACAGACACACCAGCCACATAACACATACACAACAGTACACACACAACAGTAAGAGAGAGAGGGAGAGTAGGGTGTAGGAGCGTGTATAAGGAGGCAGTATAAGGAGGGTGTATAAAGAGGCAGCATGCGGGCGTCGCGGCGCAGTTGTCGGGTTATACACCCACCTACAGACACACCAGCCACATAACACATACACAACAGTACACACACAACAGTAAGAGAGAGAGAAGGAGAGTAGGGTGTATAAGGAGGGTGTATGCGGGCGTCGCGGCGCAGTTGTCGTGTGCGCGAGGCGGGTGCGCGGCGGCCCACCTCCACCTCGGCCGCTCCGCATCACAACACCCAAAATGGCTTCCAGCGAGACCACCACCGACGACTCCCTCTACCCTATCGCCGTGCTCATCGACGAGCTGAGGAACGAGGATGTGCAGGTGGGTGGCGGGGCGGCGCGGGCGGCGTGGGCGGCGGCAGGAGGGGCGGCGAGGGCGGTAAATAAGGGTGTTATAAGGGGCCGCCCCGACCTTGTCCTCCGCCTCGCCTCCACAACAACAACAACAACATTCACCGTGTGGCTGAAGGAGGCTCCTAGGCCTCCCTAGGCCTCCCTGGCCGCCCTGGCCGCCCTGGCCTCCCTAGGCCTAGTGTATGTGGGGTGGAGGCCCGGGGGGGGGGCCACCTGTGCCTGACACAAGCCCGGGGGGGGGGGGATGACAAGTTACCCTAGTGTTAGGTGAGGGTGGGGGGGGGGCGGTCCTCGGGTAAACTGGACCGTCTATACCTTATCTTGAGGGGGATTTCGGGGCTTAGCATCCCTGAGGCCCGGTCCTCGACCAGGCCTGTTTTTTTTTTTGTTACACCCCCCCCCCACCCCCAGGAAGCAGCCCATAGCAGCTGTCTAACTCCCAGGTACCTATTTACTGCTAGGTGAACAGGAACATCAGGGTGAAAGAAACGGCCCATTTGTCTCCGCCTCTGCCCGGGGATAGAACCCGGAGCCTGAGGACTATGAATACCGAGTGGTGTCCACTCGGCCGTCAGGCCCCTGTATACAGCCATGTACGTGCAGCCATTGACCTCGGCAGCTGGTGATCGTCCTGGGTCGTCCTGGGTCGTGCAACATGTTCCTTGATGTGTAATTACCCAATTAATTCGCCAAGTGTGGTTACAGGCTGAGACCTACACTGGTGGTGGTGGTGTGCCCGGCACTGTGTCGTATAACACATGACTACTGACAGTTGTGGCCTCCACCACCTTGCTTGGTCCAGCCGTCTGTCACGCGTCAAAGTGAACTTTCCTGCATGTCTTGGGCCCCTTGGCTTCCTCAGCTTGACTTTATGACGTCTTGTTAGTGATGTTCCACATCTCTGGAGTACTTGTTTATCAATTGTCAGTTGCCGTTACTGTTGTGAACGTGGTGGTGATATCGGCACTTTTTCTTCTATCTTGTAGTTTTTGGTGTATTTGACTCGACCTCCTCGTAACTCTTGTTTTTCAGTTCGGGAAGTCATTTTGTAGCATGCCGCTGCACCTTTTCCAGTTTCTTTGTGTGCTTCTTGAGATTTGGGCACCACACAACTGCTGCATATTCCAGTTTTGGTCTCACAAAAGTCATGAACAGTTTTAGTATTTCACCATCCATATAATTACAAGCAGTTGAAAGTGACGCATACGCTCCTCTCACAATGTTCTTGTGTTCCTCTGGTAACAGCTTAGCATCCAAAACCTCCCCCTTGGTCTCATTCTTAGTTCTGTAATTCCTTTCCACAATTTGTGTGGTCTATTTTCTCCGATTCCACATTCCATAACATGGCATTTATTCACATTGAATTCCATTTGTCACTTGATGCCCCAAGCACTTATCTAGAGCAATTTGAAGGGCCTTACAATCGTGTGCGACCGTCTTCCCCAGTATCTTGGTGTCATCCACAAGCATGTTGATACAAATGTTTCTTGTGGTAGATCGTTTATGTAGACGATGAACATCTACATTAACGATGTTCATTACCAACAAGTGTGTGTGTGCTTGTTTCATAATATACAAGCTGTTTGATATATAATTAGTCCTCTCTACAGGGGTCACTAAATTGTTCTTCAGTATTTGACAACACTGGCCCCAAGCTGGGCTCGGGGAGAACAACTCTTGAAACCCTTTCCAGGTATGCTCCAGGTATACGTCACTGGCACAGCTCTGTAGTTTAAGAACTTCTATCTGGGGATAATTGGCAAATTGTACCCAGGATGGTTTGACAGAGCCCATTTTCAAATTTTCAAATCTGAAAATATGTACCATTAGGCTAGTCTGTATTTGCCTAGTTTAGGCGTGGTTGGGTTAGGTAAGGTTGTTGGGTTAGCTGGGATTAGGGTAGGCAGGGTAAGGTTGGCTATCTATCTTGTGTGTGTGTGATGACCTTGTTTCCCATACTTCCTCCACTCTTTGGTAGGGTGACCATGCTTGTAGTCTGCATGGTTTCCAAAAGTGCCAAATTTGCTGATGTGGTACTGTACATTCTAGTCCGATAAGTAGCGTATCTGATGCTAGATTAAATATCCCCGACAAAGTCTTGTCACCTCCTAATGCGTTGCTTCTCTGACACGACAGAGGCATCTCTTTATCCTCGGTTACTTCCGTGTCTTCCTTACTGTTTTATTTTTTTTTACACGGTGGGTACAGGAGCAGACGACTGTGGACTCCTGTTACCAGGCTGAAAGCTTTCCCTTCCCATAGCTCATGGTAAGCCTTACCCACTAGTTTCCCTGAAATACGACTCTTTAATCGTTTAACAGCGAGGTAAACAATCACTGCTGGAAACAATGGTGAAAAAGTCGAGCCTGGCCTCAAGCCAGGCTTAGGAGTAGAACTCCCAGAACCCCATCCAGGTACAATCCAGGAACAGTTAAGGATTGGCGCCGAGTCACTCCTCCTCGGCCAGGATAGAAACCTTTGCCACATCGCCCACAAAGTGTGGGGCGAGTGTGTTACTACTGCTGGCAGCTGTGATACCTAGGTTACTACTGTGTCGTCCATAATGCTGTGTGCTGTACTAATCCCTGCCGGCAGTTGTGATATCCTGGGTTACTGTCGTCCATAATACTTTGTACTGTTCTCTGATCCCTGCCGGCAGCTGTGATATTCTGGGTTACTGTTGTCCATAATACTTTGTACTGTTCTCTGATCCCTGCCGGCAGCTGTGGTATCCTGGGTTACTGTTGTCCATAATACTTTGTACTGTTCTCTGATCCCTGCCGGCAGCTGTGGTATCCTGGGTTACTGTTGTCCATAATACTTTGTACCGTTCTCTGATCCTTGCCGGCAGCTGTGGTATCCTTGGTTACTGTTGTCCATAATGCTTTGTACCATTCTCTGATCCCTGCCGGCAGCTGTGGTATCCTGGGTTACTGTTGTCCATAATGCTTTGTACCGTTCTCTGATCCCTGCCGGCAGCTGTGGTATCCTGGGTTACTGTTGTCCATAATGCTTTGTACCGTTCTCTGATCCCTGCCGGCAGCTGTGGTATCCTGGGTTACTGTTGTCCATAATGCTTTGTACCGTTCTCTGATCCCTGCCGGCAGCTGTGATATCCTGGGTTAGTGTTATCCATAATGCTTTACTGTATACCGTTCTTATACCTGCCGGCAGCTTTGATCCACTTGGACCAATCGATCAATAACTTATAAATGCACAACCATTTATGAATAGTTTCCACAAAATTACAGTACAGTACTGTATATTATTTAGTAATAATTGCACAGCAAAATTTGTATTCATTAAAATTATAAATTACATAATCTGGCTTTAATTGTAGATTTGTAAGTCATTAGTTGTATATTTAGAGGTTATTTACTGGTAATGACACTAATTAAAGATCATGGTCTTGCTCACTAGTAGTGTTGGACTGAGAAGTTGACTATTTGTATTCTGATTATTTGTAATTTTAAAGCGTACATGTTGTTTTTGGAATAGGGCATCTTTGATACACGCCGGTCAATATTAATTGGCTGTGGGAGACATGAAACCAACAGGCCAATACTATAGTTTTGCAGTAGACACGTGTTGTTACAGTTCAATGGTAGCAGTGTTGTACAAATTGTTCATTCAAGAAATATATCTGGAGCTGTACAGTATTCGTTCCAAGGGTTAATACAGTAATCCAATGTTAAAATGTCGTCATAACTGCACGAGTGTGAGGACACTGGCTTGGGATATTTGGCTATAAGAGGAAACTTTTGTCCTCAGATCAATGTATTTTCCAGCATATAATAGTTTACAAAAGTATTATGTGAATTGTATACATTTTAGTATGTTTTGTCATGCATTTATTGAAATTGATTTTATAGTAGTTTTGTAGGGGGGAGGTGGGGACTTAGGATTTTGTACACAAATCGTGCGTCCTCTCTATCTGCAAATACAGTAGCTTAGATAAGACATTATTTTAAAACGTGGACTTACGTATGTTGCTGATAGTCAATTTTAACATTATCAGTGGCAGTTGATGTAACTGAATCATCAGACTGATTAGACAGTCATGTTGATATGGGTTTATCATATGTTACAAGCTTGGCTCGTGATGAAATGGTGTAGGATTGTACTGACGTTCAAAATGGGATGTATTTATCTTGTAAAAGCAATAAACCCTATGAAAATATTAACTATTTTTTATGCTGTTTTATACAATACAGTAGTTTTAAAAACTCTTTACTCTAAAAACTCAACCGGAGGCTTAGGTCCCACGCAGGAATATCCCTGCAAAAAAAAAAAAAAAAAAAGCTGGAAAATCAACTTGTAATATACATGGAGGCTATTGACTGGGTTTATAATATTCAACTGAGGTTGTTTTATTGACCAAGAGCTGTTGTGGTTAGCTTTGGGGCGTGCAGAGTTGTTTAACATACAATGTTGTGATGTTAAACACATGTTGATGATGTGTTGTTATTCAATAATATACAAGTCTAGCATCTGCCGTCAAACGGCAGATGCTAGACTTATATATTACTGAATTTGGACAAACCAGAAACATATGTTGCTAATAAAGCCTAACCAACCCATCCTAAGCCTAATATTGTACATGTACTGTATGTGCTGTACTAGGCCTAGGAATATTTAAGTTTTTAGCTTCATTTATTCCAGACTATAAAATATAGTGTACAAAAAGAGGCCTACTGGGGCACCATTATTACAACAAGCAACACTTAGTGGGTCAGCCAGAGGCTTAACAGAGGCTTAGGGCCCCACACAGGAATTTCCCTGCATAAAAAAAATTACATGTTGGTACAATTGACCACTTGGTTACAAAAAGCACTCAAGACAGGACAATGGGTTGCTTAATTAATATTTAAGACAAGGTAGGTTCATGTTCATTCCCAATTAATACTGGTGTTTAAGACAAGGTAGATGTAACCATATTCTGCAGTCCCTGTGGTGAAGTGGTATCCTGGCTGGGGAGGATTGACTGGGTGCCAGTCCTTAACTCTAGACTGTTCACTCAGCAGTGAATGGGTACCTGGTTCTTAAAAGATTTGGCTAGTCGTATTCCGGGGAAAATTAGGATTAAGGACTTGCCTGAAATGCTATCTGTGCTATGTACAGGAATGTAAGAACTTTGTATATACTACAAAAATAATAATAATTTTATTTTAAAATGGGAATAAATTCAGTATTGGATGGTTTGTGTAAGAGTTAAAATTATTTCCTAATTGAGACCTACAGTGTCTAAATAATTGTTCAATATTTATTATTTATTTTTCATTCTGCTTGAGATACCGATCCCATATCAGTCCTCGGGCTGCTACTTGTTATTTTCTGTAGGTTTTCTATGGCATACTTGGGCCAAATTAAACTAGTCTAGGCATGCGGTGCATATGTGGAGTGTCAGGTTTATAAGAGTGGTTTTTGTTTGAATTCTGACAAGACACTGTTTGGTTTGTTGTGCATTTGCTAGTCTTAACTTTACTAATGTTTGGAATGCCTCGTCCCTGAATACTGCGTGTGTGGTTCTTGAGGACCAGCTATCAAAATAATGTCCATTGGTCACTTGGTTTCAAATTATATATTGTTGTAAATGCATTTGCTTGTGTTTTCTAAGAACAGTACTGAAAGTATTGTAGTTCAGTACCCAGTATGTTGCATGTATATAAACTCCATTGTAGTTTGTACACATTTTGATTTATTAATTTATTTACAGTTGCGTCTCAACTCTATCAAGAAACTTTCCACTATCGCTCTTGCATTGGGGGTGGAGCGTACACGGAGCGAATTGATCCCATTCCTGACAGACACGATATATGATGAAGATGAAGTGTTGCTGGCACTAGCTGAACAGCTGGGTTCATTCACTCCTCTGGTTGGAGGCCCAGAGTCTGTTCACTGTTTACTAGTGAGTTTGAATTGTTCAATTTTCTTTAGTGAGAATTTTTTAACACATTGTACCATATATTTAATAGTGTGTGCAGTTTGTTTATTGTCTTTTATTACACGTTTTCATAAATATATGAATTTTTCATGCAGTCAGTATGGCACAATAACGTGGCTAAAGAAATGATGACCAAACCACAACTCAGAATATTGAGAAGCAACGACGTTTTGGTCCATCCTGAACCATACACATCACTCAACTTGATAATGGTCCAGGATGGACCGAAGAGTCGTCACTTCTCCATCTTCTGAGTTGTGGTTTAGTCATCATGAATATTTTATTTTTTAATATAGTGAAGTTTTCTTAAGTTTTCATTCCATATAGAATTTTGTTTACTGGGCATTAGTTAACTATGCCTTAGTAGCCATTAATTCCTTGAGTATCTCCAGTAACAGTGCTTAAACAAGTGACCATGATCATCATATGAAGGTTTTTAACTACAAATTACTGACCGAGTGAAATTACCGGCAAACACTGGCTGGGATTGTCAGCCTTCCTGAGTGGCAAGCAAAGCTGCTCAAGAGTCCACAGCACCAGCTGGTGTGGCAACATGAAAGCTGTTTGTTTACATCATTCAGGAAGATTGGATAAATTTGGTGCTTAGTGTGGATTATTTCACTCGCTCACATTTGCTTGCCTCACTTTCGTGTACTGTATTTGTGAATTTTTTCCTGCAGCCGCCCCTCGAATCTTTAGCTACAGTTGAAGAGACAGTTGTACGAGATAAAGCAGTCGATTCGTTGAGGAGAATTTGCGAGGAACACAACACAGAAGACCTCGAAACTCATTTTGTACCCCTAGTTAAACGGTTGGCCGTCGGTGACTGGTTTACGTCGCGTACCTCCGCCTGCGGCCTGTTCTCGGTGTGTTACCCAAGATTATCAGTGGCTACCAAGGGTAAGATGTTCGATTATTGCAACATTTCCTTGTCTGTTTTGCATGTTATTCAGTCCTGTTGACACAGTTTAGGTTTGGTGCGTGTTATCCAGACCCGTTGGCATGGATCAGGTTTTATGATTGTTGATCTAGATTAGATTTTCATTTAAAAATTATATTGAAGATGTATATCATTTATTATTGGGTACTTTTACATAATTCTGCAAATAAATACAGTCTACAGTGTATTGTAAATGTCTGTAAATGAGTATATCTGAGAATCTTACCATATACCTGTACGTTAAAGAAAAATTATTCGGAGTGGTACCGTGCCTGAATTATGTAAATGGGAATAAATTGTTACTGTAAATTATAAGAAAGCTTCAGGTTTTTTTATTGCGTAATTATTATTATTTTGACCACAAATAACTTATATTTGTGCTTATATGGGAAACTAAATAGTGGTTGGTATCTTCGTTTACGAATTTAATCTGTTCCCAGAGACGGCTCGTAACCAAAACAAATTTTCCCATAAGAAATACAGTAATGTAAATTGAATTAATCCGTTCCACACTCCCAAAAATATTAACTTCAAAATACATTTCATATATGTATAAAAAAAATTGTACTGTAGTATGTACAAGTTTTAGCTTTATGGATGACTCTTGTTGGCGTATGGAAGACAGTGAGGATTATAACATGAAGCAGTGATGACTTCTGTGAAGTACACTCTCTCCTATGTTTTGTCTGCATACCACTAGGACCTGCTTGTGGCTCACTGCTTGCTTTTTCTCACTAAAAACCTTTCCATTGACTTGTTTTTTCCTCTATGGTCATCCTCACATGTTTTCATAGGTTGAACCTTACCACCAACTTTCTTGGGACACATAGTGTGGTGTATAATAATTACTTTCATGTTCAACAAACTAAAAAAGCCAAAAAACTATTAAATTCTTTACAAAGAATTTAAGCGCATTCGTCACTATGCGGGAGGCACTGTTAAACGGAGACAAACTGTAGGCAAAGCTCGTCACCAGAATCATTCGTCACTATGCGGGAGGCACTGTTAAACGGAGACAAACTGTAGGCAAAGCTCGTCACCAGAATCATTCGTCACTATGCGGGAGGCACTGTTAAACGGAGACAAACTGTAGACAAAGCTCATCACCAGAATCATTCGTCACTATGCGGGAGGCACTGTTAAACGGAGACAAACTGTAGACAAAGCTCATCACCAGAATCATTCGTCACTATGCGGGAGGCACTGTTAAATGGAGACAAACTGTAGGCAAAGCTCATCACCAGAATCATTCGTCACTATACGGGAGGCACTGTTAAACGGAGACAAACTGTAGGCAAAGCTCATCACCAGAATCAAATTTTATGAAGAAATTGAGCTAACCCGAAAAATTCATAAATAGGGGCATTCGTAAGTCAAGGTTCCACTGTATATAAAATGCATTTTAAAAATACTTGAGGTTAAATAGAAGAAAAAAATTTCAATTAAGGAAAACCTTGGAAAACTGCTGATTAATCCTTAAGCAGCAGACAGTCAATTGTTGATTCACAGGGTAATGCGGTTATATTAAGATTTAAGCAATTGTCTGGGTTTTAAATGTATGATGTAAATATGGATCTAATAGTCTATGTGGATGTAATGGAGTTTACCTTGACCCACGATAAAAAATTCTGCTACCATTTATGGTACGAATGTGGTTATTGTTGATCTGATCAACCTGATGATCAATCAGGCTGTGACTCAGTCAGGCTGCGAGCAGCCGCGTCCAACAGCCCGGTTGACCAGTCCAGCAACCAGGAGGCCTGGTCGACGACCGGGCCACGGGGTCGCTAAGCCCCGGAATCACCAAGATATTGTCATGAATGTTATTAAGAGGATGCAGTCGTCGTCATATGACAATTTAAACAATTATTGTCTGGGTTTTACATATACAATATAATACAAGTATGGATATAGTAGCTCTATGAGTGTAAATAAAGAAAACCATGAAAATAAGTCAATATTTCTTGTTTCACTGGGTGGAGGCACTTGTCAATGCCTGGTGCTCCACTTTGCTGACGCTTCCCGCTTTATCCTCGGAGGATTCACCAATTGTATTATCACTTGTTTTTCTTTATTTACATTCACAGAGTTATTATATCCATATTTACATCATACGTGTAAAACCCAGTCAATAATTGTTTAAATCGTCATGACATCATACCCCTATTAATATTCATGACGATAACCACATTCTTACCATGAAATGGTAGCAGAATTTTTTTCATAGGTCAAGGTAAATTCCATTTCATCCACATTAACCAACTATATCCATATTTGCATCTGATATGTAAAACCCAGATAATAATTTATTTAAATCGTATAATATTCGCATTACCCTTTGAATCGACAGTTGACAGTGACCGCAGCCTAAGGGTTCACATTCCCGTTCTTCCTGGTTTAGCAACCTTGATTTGACATGCATCCTTTCAGATAGTCTCCGGTTACAAAGTGCACCTTCCAGGCTCTATATACTCACCCGCTTTGCTGAACTAGTGTTTAGAGATTTGGCCAAGTAAGGGATGTGTGAATTTGCTTAGAAAGCAGTGTCAGAGTTTCGGTGGAAATACTGTCAGTCGTATAATGGATTAAAATAAATGTTAAGGTATGAATGATAATGCTCCTAATATGGTTTGTCACATTTTCAATAATTTCCCTATATAGATGCAACATTGCAAGGAGGAGTTAGGCAAGAAGGAAATGAAACAACTTTATAATGGCCCGGGATGAAGCAAAATGTTGTCGTTGCTTCATTTTCCAACGTGCGGTTTGGTCATCAAAGAATCCAGGCTTGGAGAAAGATTCAGCTTATTTAAAACCAAATTTTTGGTTTATTTGTTTATTTAAAAGTTGCCATGGTTTTCGTGGGTGTATGTAGGACTTGTCTGCCACCAACCCTGTGGTGGCCGACCTCCCCTCACCCCCTGCTATTTTTTTTTTTTTTTTTTAAACCCCAGGCATGTTCAAAAATTTTTTTTGCTTTAACATGGGCCAACTTTATTATTTCTATTTAAATTTAAACTTGCATATTTTCTTTCCCTGTTGATTAATCCTTAGACCACGCAATAATACATATATAGATGATGTAACATTACCGATACCGCGCAATACTTTAATAGCTGTATTAGTGTCTTAGTGCTTTAATTTAAAAGCCCCGTGTGGGATAGGGGGAAGCTATAGTGCAGCCACGACCGATAGTTGACATGCCACCTAGAAAAAATTTGTGGCCAACATTCCTGGTTGTGAGAGCCTCGGTACTGAGCGAGCCACCAAGGCTGACGCACGCAGCATGAGCTCACAGCACCGCTGTTCAGCTTGTGACCACAGCATCGCCTAAAAGTCAAAATATATATACATGCTATTATTTATCGATGATAGTATTACAGAAGACCCTTGACTGATAAAACTGACCAGGATTCTGATATCAGGATTGTAGTGAAATTTAGTGCTGTGCTCCATAGTGGGAGGAGTAATGCTGAGGGAGGGAGGTGGCGTCGTCTTCTGACTGTGTGTGGCCACCTTTTATTGACTGGACTTACCATACCAGCTTAGTGGTTCACTGTGGTGAACACAAATCTAAATACTTATATATAACGTATGTATAGAGTGTAATAGCAATAGGAGTATGTTGGGAGCCATCATTTTGGTGAGGGAGGTGCGTCATCTTAGTGTGCACGACTTGTCATGTTGTTTACTGGTGGCCACTATGGTCTTTGGGCACCATACCAGTTTATTTGTACAGGTATGGTGAATAAAACGGGTAGATACTTATATATAATGTGTGTGTATAGTGTAATACCACAAACAGTATGGTTGGAGGAGAAATATTAGTGCATCTGGCCTTGAAGCAGTGACAGCAGCAGCCATAGCTGACTGTGTAGCTACGTCTCTTATTGCCTGAACTCTCCATACAACCTTACATGTACAGTTATGGTGAACAAAACATGTAGATACTTGTATATAACATCTGTGTATAGTGAATAAAAGCAAAAACAGTAAGGTGGGAGGAGTTAGTGAGGGAGTGGTGGCTGACTGGCTGGTGAGTGGTGGCCACTCTTTGTTGCTTTTTGACTCACTATACCAACTCAGTGGTTCCTTATGGTGAGAAAACAACATGCGGATACGTATATATAACATGTATACAGTATATAGTGTAATAACAGCAAAACTATTTATTTGTTTATTGTTTTATGAACATAATTGAATCGCTAACATGAACACAATAATTTTGAGTACAACGATGGTTCACACATTTTATTATATAAATATATTACAATACACACTATTGAATAATATTACTACAAAAAAAAAAATTAAAAATCACATTGAAATAATTAGGTAATAATATCTTTGTGGTAACCCCTGCCTGACAGTTGGGGCGGAGCAGACCTCGTCTGACACCTGCTCTGTCAACGCCTCTTTTTTGCCACACTTCCCCGCCCTAATGCGCCCAAAATATGAAACCTACGATTTTATTTTTTCCGTGATCAGGGAACACAAATGAACACTTTTAAGATTTTTTTTTTCCCGTGCCTGTGGGTGTTGAAGGGAAAAAGGCCCTTAGCGGTTTGAGGGTTAAATGGACGAAAATTTGGGCTTTTACCAATAATAAAATAGAACATGGAATATGGATACAAATCAAATATGTTTAGATTAAGAAAAGATCCGAGTAAATACTGATTTAGGAATAGTTATACATTTCTATATTAAATTTTTGGGTACTTAAGGGCATTGAATTGGTGGATTGTTTTAAGGACAGGTTACACATATGTACAAGAGTTTTGTTGAGTTTAAATAGGAGCCGATTTGCTAGGGCCAATAGGCCTTTAGTAATGCAATTTTATTTGTATGTTGTTACAATACTGTCTGTAATATACTGTACTGTTGTTGTTGAAAATGTTACGTCTTTCTTTCATAACTCATCTTTTTTAGCCGAGCTGCGCTCCCACTTCCGCTCGCTGTGCCAGGACGACACCCCAATGGTACGACGAGCGGCAGCAGGGAAGCTGGGCGAGTTTGCCAAAGTGGTTGAAGTGGAGTACCTGAAGACTGATCTCATCCCTATGTTTGTTGCATTGGCACAGGATGAACAGGTGAGCTCAATATGAAAAGGATTTGGGCGAGTAATTGATTAATGTTGACAGAAAATATCACAACGTGATTAAAACAAATGACTTGTAAAATGAGTGATCACATTTTAGACCCTTAAACTGCCCAAGACAGACATACAAACATACAGTAGTAGTAGTAGGCATCCATCAGTCTCGGGAGACTATGGAGTTGCGCTCTGGTTGTCGGTCTGGAGTGGCCTCACCAGGGTGCAAAGCCAGGGTAGGTTGATTCGGGGGAGAAGCTGTTACCCAGGCAGCAGGTCCCCCCTCTCCACGGTGCTGAAAGTCTCCAATGGAAAGGCATACGCCAGTACGATTGGTTTCAGCGCCGTCGCAGGAACCGTGAGTTCCGGGGTTGACCTCGAAGGTGGTGAAGAAGGGCACAGAGACCTCCAACCCCGGAGACCGCTGTGGTCGGGGCCGGAGAAGAACCACCCTATCAAGGGTATGAACGACCCCAGACATACGTACATAATATATAAATATACGTGTGTGTGTGTGTGTGTGTGTATTAAATAAAAAATATACACATAACAGGACATGTCACTGCTTGTAAAATTTACTGAAATGCCTTCCAATGTTTTGTGCATAATCTACTAGGCAAATGCTTCAACTTTGTCTAAATGACCAACTAACATAACTTGAAAAAGAAAATAAAAAATTATAAAATTGAATATTGAAAATTTCAGAATTTCAAATAGGCTGCAAAAATCTTTAATATCACAACTGTTCATTTGGTGTTGTTATGCTCTCAGAAGAGCATATGATCTTCATGTTCATATATTTAGAATAAAGGTTTTCAGTATTGTTTACTGTAAAACAATATCGTCAATACGGCATTTAAAATATGCGCAAATTTAGACAACAAAAATTTATAACTCCAAATGTTTAGAGTTTATGAAAAATCAATTCTATAGGTATTGTAGAACAGGCAGCTGTGAACACTATATGTAAAAATGGTGAGAATCGGTTAGAAAATAGATTTTTGGATACTGAAGTAAGTTAAAATTCTAGTTATAGATATAATTGAAGTTGAAGTTATTGACAATGAATAAGGCAGTTCTAATTCATGAATTTGTTTGTATGTTTCAATAAACGTTGTTTGGCATTCGTACTCGAATATGTAACATTTGTAGGTCAATATGTGTTGAAATGAAATAAAGAAAAAAATCCCCCCCCCCCAAAATAGGGATAATTATAATAATTATAATGATTTAGGGGACACATTTAGGGTATACGTTATATAAGTGGAAAACACCCTAAAACTAGTCCTTAAACATTAAAACAGCCTAAAGGGACAAAGAAAATAGTTTGAAGTCTGTGGAAAAAATTAGCCCCCCAAAAAATCAAAGTTCCAAGGTCAGCGAGTTGACTGATTGATTGATTTATTGACTAATTTCATTTTCTCTTCACATAGTTAGGTACTGGTATGCATTTTCTCTTCACATAGTTAGGTACTGGTATGCATTTTCTCTTCACATAGTTAGGTACTGGTATGCATTTTCTCTTCACATAGTTAGGTACTGGTATGCATTTTCTCTTCACATAGTTAGGTACTGGTATGCATTTTCTCTTCACATAGTTAGGTACTGGTATGCATTTTCTCTTCACATAGTTAGGTACTGGTATGCATTTTCTCTTCACATAGTTAGGTACTGGTATGCATTTTCTCTTCACATAGTTAGGTACTGGTATGCATTTTCTCTTCACATAGTTAGGTACTGGTATGCATTTTCTCTTCACTTAGTTAGGTACTGGTATGCATTTTCTCTTCACATAGTTAGGTACTGGTATGCATTTTCTCTTCACATAGTTAGGTACTGGTATGCATTTTCTCTTCACTTAGTTAGGTACTGGTATGCATTTTCTCTTCACATAGTTAGGTACTGGTATGCATTTTCTCTTCACTTAGTTAGGTACTGGTATGCATTTTCTCTTCACATAGTTAGGTACTGGTATGCATTTTCTCTTCACTTAGTTAGGTACTGGTATGCATTTTCTCTTCACTTAGTTAGGTACTGGTATGCATTTTCTCTTCACATAGTTAGGTACTGGTATGCATTTTCTCTTCACATAGTTAGGTACTGGTATGCATTTTCTCTTCACATAGTTAGGTACTGGTATGCATTTTCTCTTCACATAGTTAGGTACTGGTATGCATTTTCTCTTCACATAGTTAGGTACTGGTATGCATTTTCTCTTCACATAGTTAGGTACTGATATGCATTTTCTCTTGACTTAGTTAGGTACTGGTATGCATTTTCTCTTCACTTAGTTAGGTACTGGTATGTATTTTCTCTTCACATAGTTAGGTACTGGTATGCATTTTCTCTTCACATAGTTAGGTACTGGTATGCATTTTCTCTTCACATAGTTAGGTACTGGTATGCATTTTCTCTTCACATAGTTAGGTACTGGTATGCATTTTCTCTTCACATAGTTAGGTACTGGTATGCATTTTCTCTTCACTTAGGTACTGGTATGTATTTTCTCTTCACATAGTTAGGTACTGGTATGCATTTTCTCTTCACATAGTTAGGTACTGGTATGCATTTTCTCTTCACATAGTTAGGTACTGGTATGCATTTTCTCTTCACATAGTTAGGTACTGGTATGCATTTTCTCTTCACATAGTTAGGTACTGGTATGCATTTTCTCTTCACATAGTTAGGTATTGGTATGCATTTTCTCTTCATTTAGTTAGGTACTGGTATGCATTTTCTCTTCACATAGTTAGGTACTGGTATGCATTTTCTCTTCACATAGTTAGGTATTGGTATGCATTTTCTCTTCATTTAGTTAGGTACTGGTATGCATTTTCTCTTCACATAGTTAGGTACTGGTATGCATTTTCTCTTCACATAGTTAGGTACTGGTATGTATTTTCTCTTCACATAGTTAGGTACTGGTATGCATTTTCTCTTCACATAGTTAGGTACTGGTATGCATTTTCTCTTCACATAGTTAGGTACTGGTATGCATTTTCTCTTCACTTAGGTACTGGTATGTATTTTCTCTTCACATAGTTAGGTACTGGTATGCATTTTCTCTTCACATAGTTAGGTACTGGTATGCATTTTCTCTTCACATAGTTAGGTACTGGTATGCATTTTCTCTTCACTTAGTTAGGTACTGGTATGCATTTTCTCTTCACATAGTTAGGTACTGGTATGCATTTTCTCTTCACATAGTTAGGTACTGGTATGCATTTTCTCTTCACATAGGTACTGGTATGCATTTTCTCTTCACTTAGTTAGGTACTGGTATGCATTTTTTCTTCACATAGTTAGGTACTGGTATGCATTTTCTCTTCACATAGTTAGGTACTGGTATGCATTTTCTCTTCACATAGTTAGGTACTGGTATGCATTTTCTCTTCACATAGTTAGGTACTGGTATGCATTTTCTCTTCACATAGTTAGGTACTGGTATGCATTTTCTCTTCACATAGTTAGGTACTGGTATGCATTTTCTCTTCACATAGTTAGGTACTGGTATGCATTTTCTCTTCACATAGTTAGGTACTGGTATGCATTTTCTCTTCACATAGTTAGGTACTGGTATGCATTTTCTCTTCACATAGTTAGGTACTGGTATGCATTTTCTCTTCACATAGTTAGGTACTGGTATGCATTTTCCAGGAAGTGAAGGTTACACCAAAATCACATAATAAAGAAGAAAAAACTAAGAACTTAAAAAAAAATATCCCCCCCCCCCCCAAAAAAAAAAAATTTGGACATTGATGAAAGTAACGGATAATAACATTGGGCAATGTATTTATGATATATAACATAATAAAGCATAATAACATGCTTACTCATTATTATTTGTGTTATATATTGCTCACTAATGCTATAAAGGCATTAGCTGCATATCCACTTTGTGGACACTTCTAACTGCAATTCTTCTTTTGTGCATTGGACAGGTGCTTGCATCTCTTTATTATTGCATCATCCCTCACTTCCAGTTATTAGCTCTTCTCCTTATCAACAAAACGTTCTTTTTAAAAAAAAATTATAAAATCCATTTCATAAAATATTAGGATGAAAGTTTCACGATGCTGAAGCCAATAAGTTGGAGATATTTGATAAAATTTGAATATTTTTTTGCTTCCCTGCCCCTTTCGTTTAATTAAGTTTAAGGATTAACGCGTTAGAAATCCAACGAGTTAATGTGCATTATGAACCCACCGAATGGCAAGTTAAATTAATTAACTAGCTCGACCAGTAATAGATTTTTCACTCTTTAATCATAATTGTGTATAATTCTTTCCCCATTTCCCCCCAAGATGTCTGGTAATAGAAAAGTGTGCTGTGGAGGTGGCAGGGTAGTGCAGGTGTGGGGTGGTGTTTTTATATGCGTTTTTATATGGTGTTTTTATGCGTTTAGCTCGAGGGGTCTGATTTTTTCCCATGTGAAAGTACTGGTATCCATCTTCATTTAGTGGCCGATATACATATATTTCGTAGCTAAGCACACCCATTGGATGACAATGTATCTGTGACCTTGTTTCCCTCACAAGAACTTGAGTCATGCATACACACCCTAAAGAGCACGCCTCAACTCTGGCAGGATTCGGTGCGGTTGTTGGCAGTGGAGGCGTGCGTGAGTATGGCCGGCCTGCTCCAGCAGGAGGATACGGAGATGCTGGTGATGCCCACGCTTCGTCAGGCTGCCGAAGATAAGTCTTGGAGGGTGCGGTACATGGTGGCAGACCGCTTCATAGATCTCCAGAAGGCTGTGGGCCCGGAAATCACCAAGACGGATCTTGTTCCCGCTTTCCAGAGTTTGCTAAAGGATGTCGAAGCAGAGGTAAGGCACTTGATAATAATTGTTCCAAATTAAAGTTTTTGTTTTCTTTAACAGGTATTTATCTCCTGTCCTCTGTCTCTTGCATTTTCTTCAAAGATAATATAGCTTTTCATTGTAGCATTATTGCCATTAAAATGTAGTTTGAGCATAGCACATTGATCTATAGTTTTTGTGTTGTGAATTATAGGTACAGCGTACAAGTTCTCCCCAGAGTTTTATCTCGAGACACACACAGCTCATTGTGAATTATAGGTACAGCGTACAAGTTCTCTCCAGAGTTTTATCTCGAGACACACACAGCTCATTGTGAATTATAGGTACAGCGTACAAGTTCTCTCCAGAGTTTTATCTCGAGACACACACAGCTCATTGTGAATTATAGGTACAGCGTACAAGTTCTCCCCAGAGTTTTATCTCGAGACACATACAGCTCATTGTGAATTATAGGTACAGCGTACAAGTTCTCCCCAGAGTTTTATCTCGAGACACACACAGCTCATTGTGAATTATAGGTACAGCGTACAAGTTCTCCCCAGAGTTTTATCTCGAGACACACACAGCTCATTGTGAATTATAGGTACAGCGTACAAGTTCTCCCCAGAGTTTTATCTCGAGACACACACAGCTCATTGTGAATTATAGGTACAGCGTACAAGTTCTCCCCAGAGTTTTATCTCGAGACACACACAGCTCATTGTGAATTATAGGTACAGCGTACAAGTTCTCCCCAGAGTTTTATCTCGAGACACACACAGCTCATTGTGAATTATAGGTACAGCGTACAAGTTCTCCCCAGAGTTTTATCTCGAGACACATACAGCTCATTGTGAATTATAGGTACAGCGTACAAGTTCTCCCCAGAGTTTTATCTCGAGACACACACAGCTCATTGTGAATTATAGGTACAGCGTACAAGTTCTCCCCAGAGTTTTATCTCGAGACACACACAGCTCATTGTGAATTATAGGTACAGCGTACAAGTTCTCCCCAGAGTTTTATCTCGAGACACATACAGCTCATTGTGAATTATAGGTACAGCGTACAAGTTCTCCCCAGAGTTTTATCTCGAGACACACACAGCTCATTGTGAATTATAGGTACAGCGTACAAGTTCTCCCCAGAGTTTTATCTCGAGACACACACAGCTCATTGTGAATTATAGGTACAGCGTACAAGTTCTCCCCAGAGTTTTATCTCGAGACACACAGCTCATTGTGAATTATAGGTACAGCGTACAAGTTCTCCCCAGAGTTTTATCTCGAGACACACACAGCTCATTGTGAATTATAGGTACAGCGTACAAGTTCTCCCCAGAGTTTTATCTCGAGACACATACAGCTCATTGTGAATTATAGGTACAGCGTACAAGTTCTCCCCAGAGTTTTATCTCGAGACACACACAGCTCATTGTGAATTATAGGTACAGCGTACAAGTTCTCCCCAGAGTTTTATCTCGAGACACACACAGCTCATTGTGAATTATAGGTACAGCGTACAAGTTCTCCCCAGAGTTTTATCTCGAGACACATACAGCTCATTGTGAATTATAGGTACAGCGTACAAGTTCTCCCCAGAGTTTTATCTCGAGACACACACAGCTCATTGTGAATTATAGGTACAGCGTACAAGTTCTCCCCAGAGTTTTATCTCGAGACACATACAGCTCATTGTGAATTATAGGTACAGCGTACAAGTTCTCCCCAGAGTTTTATCTCGAGACACACACAGCTCATTGTGAATTATAGGTACAGCGTACAAGTTCTCCCCAGAGTTTTATCTCGAGACACACACAGCTCATTGTGAATTATAGGTACAGCGTACAAGTTCTCCCCAGAGTTTTATCTCGAGACACACACAGCTCATTGTGAATTATAGGTACAGCGTACAAGTTCTCCCCAGAGTTTTATCTCGAGACACATACAGCTCATTGTGAATTATAGGTACAGCGTACAAGTTCTCCCCAGAGTTTTATCTCGAGACACATACAGCTCATTCCTATTTTATTTAAATTTTATTTATTTTTGATTACAGTACCAAGTAACATTTGAGTGTTCCTGCAACACTTACAAACTTGTAACGTTCTTGTCTAGTATTGTTACTTTTTTTTTTAATTGAGGCTGTCCAGCTGTGAGTGTGTGGGAAGTTGAGACGTAGCTTTATAGTCGCGTCTCATGGCTACCTTACATGCATGAATTTCTCTTGCAACATTCCAGCACTTGGTATACTTTTGAAAGTGGAAATGGTGCTGGCTTGTTCTGCCTCCAGGTAAAACTCCTGCCACTTGTTTACCACTCACTGCTTGCATATTTTTTTTTTTCGTAGTTTCACTTAACTGTAAAGAGACAAGATGCAAAATTTTTATTACTATTGTTTACAACCACTCAATTTCATTTCTGTAAGAGTAAAGTGGGATCTTGTATTTCTCAACCCTTTTGTTACGATGGTTAATTTGTCTCACAATTCCTCGTACTCCTTAGTCAACTAGGAGGCTAAGGTAACTAGGAATCACCGCAAGGTAACTACTGTAACGTTCAACTGTAGTATCATGACTTTGAAAATTTAGTGGCTGTAAACAATACAGTAATATTAACAATTCTACACCCTGTCTCTATGAGGTGCCCAACCACTTGGGCTGGACGGTAGAGTGACGGTCTCGCTTCATGCAGGTTGGCGTTCAATTCATGACTGTCCAAGTGGTTGGGCACCATTCCATTGGTTGGGCTCCCATCCCATCCCAAATTCTTATCCTGATCCCTTCACAGTGCTATGTAGTCATTAATGGCTTGGTACTTTCTCCTCATAGTTCTCTACCCAGTGTGTGTGTCCGTGTAGTGGCGGTGGCACAGAACATCTCTCAAGGCTTCTTCTCACTCGGCTACATACTGGATGTAGTTTTCTGGGCTCGCTCTCAGTTGTTTGCTTCCTATAGCAAGCTTCTAATAACCTTTAGTTTAGAATTTCAGTTGGCACTTGCTCAAATGCCAATAGACTTTGTGCCAATTTCTTGTGTTTAGTTATAAATAACCCTACCTGCACTCAGTGTTGATGTTACAGTCCCTCCTGGACCATAATCAAGTCACAAGTTGATTAGGGCGTATTTTGACTGTGTAATTATGTGTTCTGTGGCCAATGTTAATGTGGCCTTGCATGTTTACAGGTGCGCGCAGCAGCAGCTGGGAAAGTCAAGGACTTTTGTCAGAACGTGGATCCCAGTGTCCAGGAAAATGTTATCATGAACAACATTCTTCCATGTGTTAAGGTTGGTCCTGATTCACTGAATGTTTTTGTTGAGATAGTTGTTAGGTGACCTGGTGAGGTATGTACATAGTACATCATTGAACTGTAGTGATGAATAGTTTGATTACAGTACATGATAGGGGCCTTAAAAATGTGTTCTCATACGGATAAAAGAAAATGCAGAATTGAACCAGTGAAGAGCTAGGATGCCATAGGCACAATCAGAGAACACTATAAATATCAGAGGTCCACGGTTGTTCAACACCCTCCCAGCGACCATAAGAAGTGTTGTCAGAACAACCGTGGACATCAAGAGAAAACTAGATAGTTTCCACCCCTCCCTTGGTGCACAAGAACACCCCTTAACCCCATTACCTGGTAATAGGTGACAATCCCCCTCCCCCCCTCGGTGCACAAGAAAAACTTGCAGTAATTTTTGTCCTTCTAATAGTGTTAAAATGTGTTACAGGTAAAAATAATGCCAAAAATGTATGACTAGCCAAGGTGAAGTCTGGAAGTCTCCCAGTGATGTCATGATTCAGTTTTGTTATTATACAGTATAGACACTAATGTATAACTATGTATACATTTTGGTGCACTATTGTGAGGCACTAAGCTGTTGTGGTGGGTGTGGTGGCTTCATAATGTGGGGGTGAGAGTGCCGCCAGGCTTGGCAGGTTGTGTGAGTGACACTGCGTACTGTACATTGATTATATAATATTTCCTCCACATTTCTAATATTTCACTATTATTATTTTGTTGTTGTTTCAAGTGTAATTGATACAATGGGCTGTGAGTAATGTTGTATCACAGAAGGTGTAGATTTATGGGTATGCACAGATATATTCATGCCACTATGCAAAATCATGTTTGTTTAAAAAAAAAGTATTTGCAGTTATCACATTATATACAGTATTAACATTATAAAACTATCTACATTTTTATGCACTATAATGAACCACTCAGCAGGTCTGGTGGGTGTGGTACTGAAATGCAAGCATAGTATGAGGGGAGGGGGCTGACAGCTGAGTGGACAGCGCTCGGGATTTGTAGTCCTAAGGTTCCGGGTTCGATTCCCGGCGGAGGCGGAAACAAATGGGCAGAGTTTCTTTCACCCTGATGTCCCTGCTCACCTAGCAGTAAATAGGTACCTGGTAGTTAGATAGCTGCTACAGGCTGCTTCCTGGGGGATGTGTAATAAAAAGGAGGCCTGGTCGAGGACTGGGCCGCGGGGACGCTAAGCCCCGAAATCATGTCTATAACCTCAAGATAGGTCGCACGCTCCCAAGAGACGACATAACTTAATGCATCAAAATGTCTCAAATATACTACGCATATCACTAATTCTAGTCACAGCAATGATGTAAAGATTCCTGTCACAAAATCATGAGTGATGAATTTTCCCTGAAGTTTATTATCTGAAGGAACATGAGGCTGTCTGTTTCATGATGCATGAAACTGCAGCTGTTGTGTGTGCTGTGGTGCTGCCTCCTGCTGTCAATATTATAACCAGATGATAATCATTATAACCAATATTGACTTGTCAGTAATCAAGCCTGGCTTTGGGCCAGGGTTTGGGGAGTAGAACTCCTCCCAGAACCCCCATCAAGCAGGTATAACCAGCATTGTGTTCACTGATATCTGAACCATGTATATTATATTTATCATAGTCAGCATCTAATGGTTATTATCATTGCAAAATATTCGTAGTTGTTTATTTCGTTGTCAAGTGGATGCTGTGAGCTGCAGTTGCATGCACTACTATTACTCACTCAGTACTGAGGCCTCGCACCCAAAAAGGGTTATCTCGAGATGATTTCAGGGCTTAGCGTCCCCGCGGCCCAGTCCTCGACCAGGCCTCCTTTTTGTTACACACTCCCAGGAAGCGGCCCGTAGCAGCTGTAACTACCAGGTACCTATATAGGTGAACAGGGGCATCAGGGTGAAAGAAATTCTGTCCATTTGTTTCTGCCTCCGTCGGGAATTGTACCCCAGAACCTCTGGATTATGAATCCTGAGCGCTGTCCTCTCGGCTGTCAGGGTTTAGTTTTTTACTTTAGTTTTGTTTTATTAGTTTTATAAAATGGTAATATCAATATATTATATAATATATCAATATAGGTTAACACTTTCGCTCAGGGATGACGCAGCATTGCGTCATCCGTTTACTGGCGGTAATGCCGGGGATGACGCAGCATTGCGTCATCCACTTTAAAAATTCGCCAAAAATCAGGTTTGTATCCGATTTTTTGGGGACTGGTTTTAAAATGTGCGCCGATGTCTTCCCATTTTCTTTGTTGAGCCTCGTGGCCCTCAGGCGGCTTGGCACACGCCGTGGGCCCATTGTCTTTGCTCCACTGTTGTGACCAATGTCGTCTCCCCTCGCATCTCAAACGTGTGAACATTTCGGCTATTTTCCGTGGCTATATTTCTTACTGCGTCTTTAGAAACTATCTACGCTTACTCCACGATGGATAGTAATCATGAACAAGGCCCTTCCAGGAAGAAAATTGCGAAAGAAAGGCTTGAAAAGGGTGGGAATTGGGAGTGTAGTAGGAAGGCCTCTGAGCGCTCACTCACGGCTAACGCGTGGCCCGTCTTCAACTCGTCGGCGGTTGGAGCGTGACCAGGTGTTTTTTTTTATATGCTAATGTTCCTCTAGAGAATTTTATTACGAACCCATTGAGACCAAAATGAAAGACCTAGGACAAAAATTGAGGTGACCAGAGTGAAAATAGTGAAAACATTTTATCCCGTTTGGGCGCTCCCGGGTAACTCGTTCGCACTTTCTCTGTTTGCTGCGGGTAATTAGCCGGGCTTTTGGAGTTTATATGCATTTAGTGCTGTAGAGAATTTTATTGCGAACACAATGATACCAAATTTATTCTCGTAGAAGGAGAATTGAGGTGACAAAGTTGAAGAGAGTATACACTTTTCGGAATTAACGCGCGCTTCCGTGACACGCTGGGGCCCATATCGCCCTGTCGAGGGGTGGCGCGCGGGGTGAGCGAAAGTGTTAAGTACTAATTGTAATTAAGAAGCAATAAATGCTATTTACATGCTTGTCCTCCTACACTCCCAAGGTTAGGTTAGGTCGTGGTTTTCTATATAGCTTTTCTAGTAAATTCTAATATTCACAATATTTTGGTGCGATGCTGGCGATAAAGTGTGTTTATGTACTATGCCGATAGTCTCAATTGTACTTGTTACATTTAATATTAAAATGTACTGTCTATTCAGAGAATGGGTTGGGCAGTAACAGCCTCATGCGCCCCCGGGACTTTTAAATCTTACACTAGGCCTAAGAGAGTCCGTTGTCACCGAGCACCGCCGATGAAGCCATATGAAGTGACCCGAGGCACTATGCGCAGTTGAAGGATTAAATATATGTTTTATAATCCAGTTTGAAGTGATACTTAACATTAAACATTCTATATGCAGTTCCCAGATATTACCCTTTACTTTTAACTTTTTATGTGTTGCAGGAGTTGGTTACAGATGGAAATCAGCACGTAAAGTCAGCTCTGGCTGGAGTCATCATGGGCTTGTCACCAATCCTTGGGAAAGAGAACACGGTCAACCACCTCCTGCCTCTCTTCCTCTCCCAACTGAAAGATGAATGTCCAGAAGTCAGACTGAACATCATCTCCAACCTAGATTGTGTTAATGAAGTTATTGGCATTCAACAGGTTGGTGGATGTGCAGAGTTTGTCACGATGACTATTAATGTTTTGTTATCCTATAAGACAGTGTTCATAAAGATTTGACATTGCACAATGAGGTTGCAAGAATATGGTGTGAAAATATTGAAGTGTTCGATGGGGGGGGGTGTTGGGCCGGCATCTGCAAACTCCGAGGGACACTTGTGGTTGAGGGGCTGCACTTCTAAGGCCCATCCTCCGAGTACTGTCCCTGAATCACTTTTATTGCCATTTTGAAGCCTAGAGTATTGGCTACATTTTGAGCTTTGTTTGATAGTAAAGTAATTGATCACCTTGGAGTATTTTACTTTTTTAAGCCTCAAAAGTCTGGTGGCTATTTTTTTTTTTTTTTCCATGAAAACGTGAAACATAATCAGTTTTGTCATTTGAAAGTATATATACAGAGTAAGTAAAATGGATATTGTTGAAGATTTGTGATGCATTTTTTGCAGGTAAATTAAAATCTTGACCAGTTTGTCATTTTCTTCAAATTTTCAGTTAGTTTGATACAATTTTCATGTAATTTTTCACAGTAAACAAATCGGCAAGCTTTATAATTCGGCTGGAGGAAATTGATTTATTTTACCAAGATATTAGAAAAATGATTAGAATTTGGCCTCAATGCATTTATAGAAGAAACCACATTTGAGTAATTTTCAAAACTGTACATCTTTTTTCAGACGACGAGGCACAATAATGTGGCCGAAGATATGATGACCAAACCACACAGACAAGAGACGACAATGTTTCGTCTCTTCATCTTGTGGACCATTAACAAGTCAAGGACAATAGAGTTGATAATGGTCCCGGATGCACCTTGTGGTGTGTGGTTTGGTCATCACGGTACTAGTTTTAGAAGTAATGCTTATGTTTCAAGGGTAAATATCACAAATCTAAATCTAAAAATGTCATTCTAGAGTAAATATGACTACCCTTTAAGCACATCATGGTTGAGCCAGTAGTGTGTGTGTGCCTGCCTGCCTGGGAGTTCAGGGATGTGGGTATAATCCCGTCGTTAGGCCTCGGTATTTTCTCATTTGTCGTTGATGACTCGGTGTGTACGAATGGCTGCAGTTTAGCTCACATCCGAGACGTGCCATCATGTCTTATAATGAGCCACTTTGGTGTGTATGAATGGCTGCAGTTTAGCTCACATCCGAGACGTGCCATCGTGTCTTATAGTGAGCCACTTTGGTGTGTATGAATGGCTGCAGTTTAGCTCACATCCGAGACGTGCCATCATGTCTTATAGTGAGCCACTTTGGTGTGTATGCATTGATATTTTGATTGCATGTATTGTACAGTATTTAGTTATCAGGAGTTTGTCGAGATATCTGAATATTTCATCAAGTTTAGTAACTTTGTTATCGAGTGGTATTGGTGAATGCCTTGGTGTTGTAACGGGTATTTTTTATTTCAGTTATCCCAGTCATTACTGCCGGCCATTGTAGAGTTAGCAGAGGATACAAAGTGGCGCGTGCGCCTAGCAATTATTGAATACATGCCCCTACTTGCTGGTCAATTAGGGGTGGATTTCTTCAACCAATCCCTCTCCAAACTCTGCATGACATGGCTTGTCGACCATGGTATGTATGTGCAATGATACACACTGTACTTTTCCATATGATTGAATAGCATGTAGACCTTTGATTGAGCCCTGTTACAGTGCAGTACGTTTAATTCTGTATTGCCTCTGACTTCTCCTTTTGGGGGCTCCTTGAGGTATTCTCAATGATTTCGGGGCTTAGCGTCCCCGCTGAGCCCCATTTCTCGACCAGGCCTCATTTCTTGTTACACACCCCTAGGAAGCAGTCTGTAGCAGCTGTCTAACTTCCAGGTACCTATTTACTGCTAGGTGAACGAGAAACTGCCCATTTGTTTCTACCTCCACTGGGGTTCAAACCCAGAACCTTAAGACTAAGAATCTTGAGTGCTGTCCACTCGGCCGTAAGTTCCACACCAATGGGCAAGGACGATTTCTGTACAAACTCTCTTTAAAATTACTGTGAAATGCCCCAGACAATATATATAGGAAACACCGCTTCTGGTAAGTCTGTGCAAACATCAAATTGAGGAAAAAATAGCAATGTTTGTTTTGCTGTTGGAACACTTTGCTTATAATTTGACTAACAGAGTTATTTGATATAAGCAAGAGCAGCTAGCTTATCTAAAGGTTTAGGCATATGGGAAATGTAGCACTTGTATTAATGCTGGAAACTTTTTTTTTAAATAGAAAACATTAGTAAATATCCATGGCTGTGTTAAGAGTCTAGGGACAGGTTGACGCATGCTAAAATATGTTTGACGGGGTGCTGGGCTAAGAGATTCATAGCTGTGACATGGGTGTAGAGCTAAGAGTTTTATAGCTGTGACATGCTGAAGTAGGCTGTGATGGGAGGGAGAAGTGGGGTACCTGGGATGTTGACAGCTACACACCCTGGGAGAGAAGGGTGTTGTTGTAACAAGTTAAGTTTCTTTTAGAAGTTTAGAGGTCTCAGATCATATAGGTTAAATTGTACCATACGAACACAAGTTTAGTGTGAGAGAGTAGTTTCACCTGACTAGCAGAGAAAAGGTCACTTGCCAGAGATTAAAGGATTAGCGAGGATAGAAAACAAAATGTCTGTTCCCCTTGTATTAATTCAACAGTGATGAATAACTCAATAAATACAGTGTTTAGTAATAACCAATCTGATTTAACTATGCATATTAGGTTAACATGAATGTAGAATAAAGATCAAGGCTTCTTTGCTATCAAAGACGGTGACATCAGTTAGAGAGGGAACTAGTTCTTCGGGCGGCGTCTCTGACCTACTGTGGGTCAAGGTCATGCTTCCGGCGTACTACTACCTCTCGTATTGTTAATTCATAAATTATAAATTCAGGTCACTTATCAATATTATAATTGGAAATACCCTGGTCCAAGATGCCTACAGAATTACCACCAGTTTCAATTAAGGATTCAACCATCTGGGTGGCCAGTAAATTAAGATTAGCTTGTTCTATTAACCCTGCTTAGTAATCAGGTAGCCAGAGAAGGTGGCGGAGTAATATTAGCCAGCATCAGTCTGGAAGACAGAGATGGACAGTGTGGAGTGGGCAGCTGGGAGATGAACATCTGGCTGGTCTTAGATTGTGGTAACGTGCCTAAGAGTTGGTACAGTTGACTTAAACCCATTTAATTCATTTGCCTCGGTAGGAGTATATTCAGTCTAGGAAGTGTTGAGATAGGGAGTGTGGCTTTTTTATATTCATTTGATAGTCTTGATTTAATAAATCCTGAGTAATTCTATTTTGTGTTTTTAGTTTTCCCATAAGAACATACGATTGTCTTTGCTGCGGAATCCACGAGCTGGGTTTATTGGACTGAGTCAGTATGCATATTCCAAGCAAGATTAGTAGATTTAATATTGGATATATCCCCTTGTTTTCAATTTAATTCCACACCTAACGTAAATCCATACCTTCCTTTTCAATTAATTGGGGATCCATGTTTGGAGAATTATATATAATTGACAGTTTCCTGTTTCACCGTCAATTATGGGACTAGTCAAGTAAGCGGATTCAGGTGGTGGCAGCTGAGAAGATCCTCGAGTTTACTAGGGGCCCAGTACAGCGTCCTCGTGTTTGTAGTATCTGAGGCGATCAACCGTCTAAAGATCACGAGGAGTGGACTGAAGGCTAATAGTAGAGCTCTGGGGTCTTTGAGATTAGTTAACTAAGGGCTGGGTAGTGGACGAAGTAGTCATTACCCCGTCCCTATTACATTGTAGGAGTGACGTGGTGATAAATCATGAAGGGGAGAAGCCCTGTTAATATTTCTGGGATACGTCTGCCACAGTAGGTGGGAGTGTACCACCAGGTTGAGTCACAATTGCCCCCACACTGTTGAGAAGCCAAGCTGTAGTGTGTACACATCTGGATCTGTTTTATATATTTTATTAATGTGTTAAAATAGTTACACTGATATTCGGATTTTTTGATTAAAGGAATTATACACAAATTTTATGTACAATTTAATTATATAAAGAAGTGATATATATCTGGCCAGGATTATACAAACAATATATTTGTTGTTGCAAGAGGTGAGAGAAGCAGCAGCACCCCTTTGATGAAAGATTGTTATTAAATTAATGTGGTGACGTGGAATATTGTCTTGCAGCAATATGAAAGTTAAAGTTATTTATATGCGTGTGGGTATTTCTTCCCTATGTGACTAGCTTGAGGGAGGCGGGAGGCCCTATGTGACTAGCTTGAGGGAGGCGGGAGGAGTCGTGTGCACCTGGTGTAAATGTAAATGCTGTGTAAATATTCATTAGTTATTTCTCAAGTCTTGTATTTTGTTGGTTGTACGTAAACCCAATTTTGTTGTTGTTTAGTGTACGCCATCCGAGAAGCGGCAACCAACAACCTTCGGAAGCTGGTAGAGAAATTTGGGCCAGACTGGGCATCCCAAAATGTTCTGCCCAAAATTAATGCCATGTCTCGCGATGGAAACTACCTACACCGCATGACCTGTCTTGCCTGTATAAATGTAAGTATGCATGCAGTTTTTCAGGTATTAGTGTCCTTTTGTGATGTATCATGATATGAGTTGCCTTGTCTCTTACTGTGAATAATTAGTGAGCTACAATAATAAATGAATTGTATGATGCAGGTTGTAGGAGAGGTGTGCGGTAAGGACGTGACGACCAAGATCCTCCTCCCCACAGTTCTAGCAATGGCCAATGATAATGTGCCGAATGTGAGGTTTAACGTAGCCAAAACTCTTCAGATTATTGGACCACACATTGAAAAAGAGTAAGTTGATATAGCATGTTTGACTTTTGATCTTTAGATTAAGAGCATGATATGGTTATATTTCCAGCTGGTTTAACCCAGAGTTCTCGGCTAATAATAGCACACAACGCCGCTGTGTGCTAGAAGGTAGTTTTCTAGCACCACTGTGTGCTAGAAAAAAACAAAATTTTCATTTTAAGATTGTTCAAATGTGTTCCCTGATGATGGGAAAAGTAATACAAAAAGTCGTAGGTGACATATTTTGGCTGTAAAAGGGTGAGGAAGTCTGGCAAGATTCAGGTGCCGAGAGAGTACACCTACGAGGCCGGTCTCTTCCAGCCGGGCTGTCGTGTGCGAGTTCCCACAAAAATGATATTGCCTAATTAATTTTTTTTTTTAGCAATATTATTCAATATTGTGTAGTGATATATTTATATCATAAAATGTGTGAACCATTGCTATACTCGAAAGCATGGGGTGCATATTAGTGTTTCAATTATGTTCATAAAACAATAAAATAATATTTTTGCTATTATACTACACACGTTATATATAAGCATCTACATTTGTGTTGACCATAATGAACCACTAAGCTGGAATGATGGATGGAAACAGCATAGTGGCCACCAACACATCAAGTCAACTGACAACACTACCTCACTGCTAAGATTCCTCCTCCCACCATAATGTTTGTGCTGTTATTACACTATATACACATGTTATATATAAGTATCTACATTTGTGTTGACCATAATGAACCACTAAGCTGGAATGATGGATGGAAAGAGCATAGTGGCCACCAACACATCAAGTCAACTGACAACACTACCTCACTGCTAAGATTCCTCCTCCCACCATAATGTTTGTGCTGTTATTACACTATATACACATGTTATATATAAGTATCTACATTTGTGTTGACCACAGTGAACCACTAAGCTGGTATGGTGAGTGCAGACAATAAGAGTGGCGGCCACACAGTCAGAGCAGACGACACCACCTCTCCTTCACCCCTCGCCAAGATTCCTCCTCCCATCATAATACTGTATGCACATCGCTAATTCTCGCCGCAATGCTGCTGGCAGTGTGCAGATGTAATGTGTATATTAAAAATGTTTCAAAATGTATATATATATATATACAATGTGTGCCGCCATAAAGGCAGTTAGACCAAAATTGTATATTATATAATTGCTAATTATACAATTAGCCCCGTTAAAGGGTTAACCCCTGTACTGTTCCGTACTATAATATACACCCCCATGGTGCGCCCGATGTTTTTTTGTTATTTCAAAAAATTTTAAATCTCGTCCCCCGACCATATATATGTTGAAATAAATGTAAATACTGTACTTTGGCGGAGATGCCCGGAGGTGGTCACATGCCACATTCAAAAAGTGCAAGTTACCACATATGTTTATGTTGAGTATTTCTGCATCAGTTCTATTGCAGTCTAATTTTTTCTGGCCTTTGCTATGTATATTGAAGTTATTTAGAATATTCATGCTGTATAACAGTTCAAGGGAACTGTTACACATGTAACAAATGTGTCCAAAACAATGTTCATTTTTGTAATAAAATGTTCAATTATTTACATGTAGTATGTGTCGGGTAATCACTGAAATAGTCAACAGCACACAAGGCAACTTTGCACTCAACTCGCCACGTACAGACAGGTTTGCACTTTGCTCTCTCTGTTGTGTGGTGCTTGCAACAACACAAGCACATTTACCCTTGTCACGTGTCCCTGTACTTGGCATGTCTTTGTACTTCGGTCTGTCCGGAGCTGCTCAAGACATTGTCGGTGTACGCGCACAAGTCCACGACACTACCTTCTACCTAATATTTCGCCAGCAATTGCACCATCAGAGCAAGAGTGAATGTACGGATTGCTGGTCTCTTGCCCGATTTCACCAGATACATGTTGTAACAGTTCAATACTTTAACATCCACAAGGTAGAAAAACAATTTCTTTGTCCACTTCACAGATTTTCTCACGCACTTGATTGCACCAATTATCATGTCACATTTATTTGCTAAGTGCATACATTTACGTTGTAGTCCTGGTTGAGGACCGGGCCACGGGGACACTAAGCCCTGAAATCATCTCAAGGTAGTCTGACACAATCAGGCTTGTACATTTTCACCTGTGTTGCAAAGTTCACTTTGTCACTGTCCAACAATGCACCTGTGTGAATAGTTGTCAACATATTCATCTCGCATCTTCAATTCTCCTTGCCCTTCACCGCAGAGCAAGGAGGAAGTCCCAAAGATAAGAGAGGGAACATAAAACCAGACACAACTAAAGGAGTTTGTGATTCCCAGTGAGGTGGTGAGGAAGCATCTGGTAGATTTGGACATGACAAAGGCTATAGGCCCAGATGGAATCTCTCCATGGATTCTAAAGGAAGGAACAGAAGCTCTGTGCCTGCCACTTTCCTTGGTGTACAACAAATCACTGGTACAGGTGAACTGCCAAAAATTTGGAAGATGGCCAATGTAGTCCCAGTATACAAAAAGGGTGATAGGCAGGAGGCACTGAACTACAGGCCAGTGTCCCTAACTTGCATTCCATGCAAGATGATGGAGAAGATTGTGCGAAAAAAGCTAGTTTAACATCTGGAGTGGAAGAACTTTGTAACACAAAATCAGCATGGGTTCAGAGATGGTAAATCATACCTAACAGGTTTGAGTTCTATGACCAGGCAACAAAAATCAGGCAAGAAAGAGAGGGCTGGGCAGACTGCATATTTCTGGACTGCCAGAAAGCTTTTGACACAGTATCACATAAGAGACTAGTGCACAAACTGGAGATGCAGACAGGAGTGAAAGGGAAGGTACTCCACTGATTAAGGGAGTACCTAAGCAACATGACACAGCGAGTCACCATGAGGGGTGAGGTCTCGGAGTGGCGGGGAGTCACCAGTGGAGTCCCATAGGAATCAGTCCTTGAACCTATACTGTTTCTGATATACGTAAATGATCTCCCAGAAGGAATTGACTCGTTCCTCTCGATGTTTGCTGCTGATGCAAAAATTATGAGGAGGATCAAGACAGAGGAGGAAAGTATGAGGCTACAAGATGACCTAGACAAACTGAAGGAATGATCCGACAAATGGCTACTAAAGTTCAACCAAAGTAAATGTAAGGTAATGAAACAAGAGGAGGAACTAGGAGGCTAGTCACTGGATACCGAATGGGAGATGAAGTCCTTCACGAGACGGACAGAGAGAAAGATCTTGAGAGTTGATATCACGCCAAACCTGTCTCCTGAAGCCCGCATCAAAAGAATATCAGCAGCAGCCTATGCGAGGCTGGCTAACATCAGAACTGCTTTCAGAAACCTGTGTAAGGAATCCTTCAGAACCTTGTATACTACATATGTAAGACCAATCCTGGAGTATGCAGCCCCAGCATGTAGCCTGTATCTAGTCGAGCACAAAACGAAACTGGAAAAAGTCCAGAGGTGTGCCACTAGGCTAGTCCCAGAACTAAGAGGCACGAGTTATGAGGACAGACTATGTGAACTGCACCTCATGTTGCTGGAAGACAGAAGAGCTAGGGGAAACACGATCACCACATACAAAATTCTCAGGGTGGACAAGGATGGATTATTTAAGACGGATGGTACACGCACAAGGGGGGACAGGTGGAAGCTGAGTACCCAAAGGAGCCACAGACACATTAGAAAGAACTTTTTCGGTGTCGGAGTAGTTAATAAATGGAATGCACTAGGAAGTGATGTGGTGGAGGCTGACTCCATACACAGTTTCAAATGTAGATATGATAGAGCCCAGTAGGCTCAGGAATCTGTACATCAGTTGATTGACGGTTGAGAGGCGGGACCAAAGAGCCAGAGCTCAACCCCCGCAACCACAACTAGGTGAGCACATCTGTCCTTCCAACACACAGATAACATTGTCACTCTTTCGCAGCTGGCAATAGCCCACTGCAATACCAGTACCGAACACTGGCATGTCCGTCCTGTGTGGCTTGACAGTGCCACACTCCAGTGTTGTGTTATAGGAAGAACATGGTCAGCATGGGGCTGGTATAGTACTGTATGTCTGTGTACAGGATATGCTCCTTGTTCGCCATTGGTTGCACCAGTGTTTTCACCACACTGCCTGAAGACTTACATGGCTCGTGAGCCTGTACGTCAACCTCTATACTGGAATATGATCTATCGATGAATATTCTGTTTTTACAATCGCATAAGATGACAAACTTTAGTCCAAACCAATGTTGTTGTTATGGGATGTTCAGCACATCGTCCTTTGAAAGAGAGTTAGCGATTCATCAATCACAATATTTTGTCCTGGTATAAAATAGTCGCAAAACTTTTCCCCTCACTTCACTAAACATTTTTCGCACCTTCCACAGTCTATCGTGTGTGTGTGCGCATCATCATTGTTCTCAGTGCAGGCACCTGATAGGTAGAATGGTCGGACCTGTCACGTAACATGTACCTGCTGGACAAGGGGGGTCTGTCTCTCTCTTTCTCTCCTTCCTTCCTTCCTTAAATGTGAATAGATGAAAGTTGGGGAGTTATATTATGGATATTACTCTTTAAAATGTACAATGCTAGTTGGTATATGGTTTTTTTATCAAAGGTATAATTCTATGTACAGATATAATTGCTATGTACATTGAATAACTTGTACATTTTTATATTTTATAGTTGTATCTGAATATTAATAGTTCTAAAATAGTAGCTAAAATATAATAATTATGTATTTTGAAAATTGAAGACTGTTTTTGTCGCCAGGTCCCTCCATTCGCAAGTAAAGTGTGTTCTAGATAGACTGAATGATGATCCCGACACCGACGTTAAATATTTTGCCTCGGAAGCACTAACAGGTAGGTGGTGCGGCGCATGAGTGGCTCTCCAAGAGTTGTGCTTGATTACATTTGATGTTCTGCCAGTCTGTTTTATGTTGAAAAATAAGACGGCTGCTGATTGAAATTTTCATGAAATAATTTACTAATTAAGGTGCCACAATTAATATTTAAGGTGTTGTCTAAATTGCTGTTAACGGGGTTGTGTACAGATTCAGTGTTCCAAACTACTATTTTTTTTTTCTCCCTCTGGCAGTATGTCTTCTGGTTTTTACGCATAGTTTTTCCCGCTTTTTTTTTTTTTCCTCCTGGAGACTGAGTGAGATGCAAGATTGCCAGTTTGTGTGCTTGTTCTTCCGCACCAGGATACACTTGTGTCGGGCGAGGCAGGTCACAGTAGCAATTGGTCTCATTGCTTTATAAGTTTGCCAGTGTGTTGCAGGTATATACAGTACCTTTTGAAGACATGTGAAAGTGCTCTTGTAGTAGACGCTGTTGAGTGAGACTCCATATATATTGATAAGCACTCACCAAGAAAACTTCACTTAATCTGGACACTCTCTGCGGGGACCTGCACAATGCAGGGACACTCGACCTTCAGTATTTGTGTAGATGTATTTAGTTGATGTTTTTGCATGGTAGAAACGACAAAACCCCAAAATTTATAATCCAAGATTCTCTCTTTGCCTTTTCAGAAAATGGTCTAATATAAATGGCCTTATTTTTTCTAGCCTTTGGCTGAGAAAAGAAAAGGTGCTGCCGTAGTTTGCTTCTGGTAAGTAAGATGAGAGTGAACTTCACCAGAAGTGGAGTCTCATTCACTCAGTTTTCTTGAGAAGAGATCACCTCTGCGCGCTGAAATGGGGGCGATCCGATCTAATAAATTTAATGTAATTCTGAAATCTCTTGAGGAAATGCTTTGACCTGTGTCCCACGGAGTATTCTGTTGCTAGTTTTCTCAAGTGTAAGCTTTGAAGAGGCTTGCAAGATTTTCACAGCAGGAGTCCAATGAGTGAATGAATGTAAATATTTGGTTGACATGCTTCTTGTATGTACAGATACATTACCCATTTGTGGTTTTTGAGCATGAAGGGAAGGGGGGGGAGGGGATGAAGAAGGTACGAGACGCAAGTGGGGAAGGCTGATGTACTGTGTTCCATTATACACGGGTGGTGATGTGCTCTGCACTAGGGCTTCAGCGTCTTGCATGCTTTGCATATTAATCCTGCATACGTCTTGTCTCTATTCTCGTTTTACTTTGCTTGGTTGACGTGTCTTCTCAAAAATTTGCACTTGTCTTATTTCCATGGCTGTTTCTCCTGCTTTATTTCCCTGTTGCATATGTTACCATTATCAATTGTTTATGGGTTTTCTGCCTGTGTGCACTTTTGCGGATCTTTGCTGCTTGTGCTTGTAATGGATGGCCCCTCCGTCTATCATGTTGCTTCTGCTGCGACTCCACTGACTGCATTACAAGTTGTTGGCCGAGTATTACGGCCATGGTAGAGATCTTGGGCTAGTGTTACGGCCGTGGTAGAGATCTTGGGCTAGTATCACCCAGCTGCTACTAATAGGGCTGAACTGCAATGCAAGTGAACAGAATGCTTGTCTGCTTCTGGGGAGCACTCACTAATTAGATTTTCATGGAAAGTTTGCAGCAGACTGAGAAAATTGGAACAAGAGGGAGATGCAATGCTTAGGAAACAAATGTATTAGAAGCTTAGGAGAGTGGGACAGAGATGGGGAAAGTGATGTAAGGAGAGAGAGAGAGAGAGAGAGATGGAGATGTACGTGATAAAGAATTGGATCGACACTTATTTCCTCGTTTACAAATGCCATGACATTGAGACACAGTGGTGCCTCTTGCCACTAGTGAGAGGGGGGGAACAGTGGTGCCTCTCACCACTAGTGAGAGGGGGGGAACAGTGGTGCCTCTCACCACTAGTGAGAGGGGGGGACAGTGGTGCCTCTCACCACTAGTGAGAGGGGGGGAACAGTGGTGCAGTGGTGCCTCTCACCACTAGTGAGAGGGGGGAACAGTGGTGCCTCTCACCACTAGTGAGAGGGGGGAACAGTGGTGCCTCTCACCACTAGTGAGGGGGGGGGAAGTGGTGCCTCTCACCACTAGTGAGAGGGGGGGAACAGTGGTGCCTCTCACCACTAGTGAGAGGGGGGGGGACAGTGGTGCCTCTCACCACTAGTGAGAGGGGGGAACAGTGGTGCCTCTCACCACTAGTGAGAGGGGGGGGACAGTGGTGCCTCTCACCACTAGTGAGAGGGGGGGGGACAGTGGTGCCTCTCACCACTAGTGAGAGAGGGGGGGGACAGTGGTGCCTCACCACTAGTGAGAGAGGGGGGGAGACAGTGGTGCCTCTCACCACTAGTGAGAGAGGGGGGGACAGTGGTGCCTCTCACCATTAGTGAGGGGGGGGGGGGGACAGTGGTGCCTCTCACCATTAGTGAGGGGGGGGGGGGACGGGGACAGTGGTGCCTCTCACCACTAGTGAGAGGAGGGAGACAGTGGTGCCTCTCACCACTAGTGAGAGGAGGGAGACAGTGGTGCCTCTCACCACTAGTGAGAGGAGGGAGACAGTGGTGCCTCTCACCACTAGTGAGAGGAGGGAGACAGTGGTGCCTCTCACCACTAGTGAGAGGAGGGAGACAGTGGTGCCTCTCACCACTAGTGAGAGAGGGGGGGACAGTGGTGCCTCTCACCACTAGTGAGAGGAGGGAGACAGTGGTGCCTCTCACCACTAGTGAGAGGAGGGAGACAGTGGTGCCTCTCACCACTAGTGAGAGGAGGGAGACAGTGGTGCCTCTCACCACTAGTGAGAGGAGGGAGACAGTGGTGCCTCTCACCACTAGTGAGAGGAGGGAGACAGTGGTGCCTCTCACCACTAGTGAGAGAGGGGGGGGACAGTGGTGCCTCTCACCACTAGTGACAGAGGGAGACAGTGGTGCCTGGGAGACAGTGGTGCCTCTCACCACTAGTGAGAGGGGGAGGACAGTGGTGCCTCTCACCACTAGTGAGAGAGGGAGACAGTGGTGCCTCTCACCATTAGTGAGGGGGGGGACAGTGGTGCCTCTCACCACTAGTGAGAGGAGGGAGACAGTGGTGCCTCTCACCATTAGTGAGAGAGGGAGACAGTGGTGCCTCTCACCACTAGTGAGAGAGGGAGACAGTGGTGCCTCTCACCATTAGTGAGGGGGGGGACAGTGGTGCCTCTCCTCACTAGTGAGAGGAGGGAGACAGTGGTGCCTCTCACCACTAGTGAGAGAGGGAGACAGTGGTGCCTCTCACCACTAGTGAGAGGGGGAGGACAGTGGTGCCTCTCACCACTAGTGAGAGAGGGAGACAGTGGTGCCTCTCACCATTAGTGAGGGGGGGGGACAGTGGTGCCTCTCACCACTAGTGAGAGGAGGGAGACAGTGGTGCCTCTCACCATTAGTGAGAGAGGGAGACAGTGGTGCCTCTCACCACTAGTGAGAGAGGGAGACAGTGGTGCCTCTCACCATTAGTGAGGGGGGGGGGACAGTGGTGCCTCTCCTCACTAGTGAGAGGAGGGAGACAGTGGGGCCTCTCACCATTAGTGAGAGAGGGGGGAGACAGTGGTGCCTCTCACCACTAGTGAGATGAGGGAGACAGTGGTGCCTCTCACCACTAGTGAGAGAGGGAGACAGTGGTGCCTCTCACCATTAGTGAGGGGGGGGGACAGTGGTGCCTCTCACCACTAGTGAGAGGGGGGGACAGTGGTGCCTCTCACCATTAGCGAAAGGGGCGGTGACAGTGGAAACAAATTAATACATGTATGCCATGTTTTGGTACTCTATTAGTGTCCTCTTGTTTATGTACTGTCTATCTGCCCCTGTCAATTCTCTAGAAATTTTGTTGTATTCTGCCCTGTCTATTCTCCAGAAAATTTTGTTGTAATGTATTGTAGTGTGGTGTAATTTGTTGTAATGTCTTCCGATATCACTTTGTTTGATATAGTTCATGGGAAAAGATTGTGTGATATCAACCCACATGGTAGTTTCCTTTCCTATTTGGTACTGTGTGTGTTGCTTCGTGTTGCTAGCTCCCAGCTTCATTACTTTATACTTGCCCGAGTTAAACTCTAGTAGCCACATTTTGGACCATGCTTTCTTTGTCAGGCCAACCTGTAATTTCTGCTTCGTCAGCAACCATTGAAAGGAAGAAGTCTGTTTTGGGAGAATATTTACATAAATTTGGGCTAAAGCTTGACCTAACTGACCTTTGTGGGACAACACTGGCAACATCTCGCAACTTTGAATACTCTCCTCTTGCTTGGGTGCACTTCTCCTCACCCTCTCACTCCTGCTCATTCCTCCAACTTATGCACTAGGCTTATGTGGGGTTGAAGGCTCTATGATAGTCAAAAAATGTGCATTTTGCCCAGCCTTCTGTTTTGATTGGTTGCCTGCTTGTAGAAGTCTCAAGTTTGTGGGGGCAAGATTTGCCGTCCCTAAACCCATATTGGTTCTATAAATACGGTTATCAGTAGAAGTTCTACCAGCTTTTTTATTTGTTAAATTGCCTTGCAAGGTACACATTTAAGGGCTACTGGTCTGTAATTTGTTACTCTCCCCGTTTTGTATATTTGCTAATATCCAAATTTATGGTTTTTCCCATTTTGAGTTGTGTATTACAGTATAACAGCAAGTGGACCAGTATTCTGCTTGCTCATACCTCGGTATGCACTGTGAGGTTGTCTGGTCCCACAGCCTTATCTGTGTCGACTTCCTGATGGTGTCTCCTTATTTCATCTTCGGTCATCTCGATCCTCATGTGTTTGGTTTTATACTGTTCCACGGGTTGGGCATTTTTGTTTTTTTATTGTCAAGACTTTAGGATCTTGGGTTCCTCACTTCTCCCTCATTTTCTGATAGTATGCCCTTCGTTATTCTGAGGTTCATAACGTGTCGTTTATTAGTGTTTTTCCTCCCAGTGTAGCTGTGAAGACATTTGGGTTGGTGTCTGCTTTATTTGCTATATATTATTGTCTTCTCACCCTAAGGTATTCATTCCTTGCCCTCTGGTACCTCTTACTAATTTGTTATGCATTGTGCATCCTTAGACCCTCAGTTGCCCGAGTTAAACTGTGATTCGGGTAAACCATGGGTTAATCCTGTCGGTGTTCTTCCTTTAAACGGATAGAAACTTGTCAACTGCTTCCCAATATTTGAGGACACTGTCTTGAGTGATCTTCTTTTCTTTAAGTTCTGCGGCCTATGGTACTTGTGATTACGTTTTCTTATTGCTTCATAATTTTCCCATTGGCATACCAGCCAATGGTCCTCTCTTTTAACCATTCATTCCTATGAACTCATATTGAAGCTGTACAATGGACTTGTAACCACACGCCTGATCTCCTCTCACACACTATTGAGCGCAGCACGAGCCGATGGTACGTGTTCATGTGATCATGGATTTTGGTTTGATTGTTGGACAGCCTGAATATTTATTTATAGATTCATCAAGCTATTGTGTTCTTCTTTATGCAGTCATTCATACTTCCAAATTCTTGATGTTAGTATACAGATCACTCACTCAGGAGTCTCATATTTGATTTCCCTTGTAGCTGACCTGAAAATATTTCCACAAGTCGAGCCGATTCATCGATACCCTTTCTCATGGGTTCCTTGACATACTGTATGGGTTTAGAAAATTGACTTGTGCCAACAGTCGAAAGTCATCTACTCGTATGCCAATCCTCTTCCCCCTTCCCTACTCCCCCCCTCCTCACTCCACCCTCTTAACAAAGTATTGCCTAAAATTTAACTGGTACCGATACTGAATAAAAAGGATGACACCACTAATTACTGAAAAAAGGTGCGATACCACCGATACCAATAAATTGGTATACCTCTTGTACTGTCGAAAGTTCTCCGTAAGCAGGTAAGAGCCTTGTGCCATTTTGTATGGTGTAGCGACTGTGCTAATTATATTTTTTAGGATTAGAGGCGTGTGTGTGTGTGTGTGTGTGTGTGTGGGGCATGTATTACATTGTAGTGTGAGGTAGTGAGTGGCTTCCTCTCACATGAACACTTTTAAAGTGGTCTTATAATGTGTAATATTTAGTGTTTTAAGTTTTAGGAAGAGCAGATGCAACTGTGTGTATAACTTGCTCATAGTGTCAATGAAGAAATTTAGAATGCTTTAATCAGTTACTTTTGATTTCTGTTGCATGTTAAGTCATTAATTGGGGAGTTGTGAACATTTTGGGAGATGCTACAACGGTGATAGAATACACCTCTGCTTATTTATATAAATATATACACACACATTTTCAATGTGTGTTTGCATATAGTGTACTCACCTATTTGTGCTTGCGGGGGTTGAGCTTTGGCTCTTTGGTCCCGCCTCACAGTGTGTGTGTGTGTGTGTGTGTGAAAAGAGGAAAGGAGGGGGGGGGGAGAGACTCGGGCATGACTGGGTTCCCGACTTGTTCAATATATTCAAGACGGAAATAGTTCATGGTGCCTGGTGGGTGACCATTTTCCCACTATTCAAGGATGCTGATGCCCTCTAGTGCAAACTGACGTCCCATTACTGTGATGCTGAAAGTGGAGAAGTTACTTGTGGCTATAATAGTGATCTTGGTAAGAAATCACCTTGCCGCACAACCCTGGTATCCAAACCACTCGTCAGAAAATGATGAAATGACGATTTGGTCTGTCCTGGATCATTATAAGGTCATGTGATGAGAGTAATGGATACTCAACATGGATTATTGTGAGGGTGGTCTACCCAATCTATCATTCATAAAAGCATATTGAGGCAGTTGAGAGTAGTAATGTTCATCTTGACTTTAGTAATGCCTTATACTCTTCACCCCATGAATGAGGCTAATAAGGCCAAGCCTGAAGGGAACTATCAGGAGAAAGTGCCAAGCCATTAAGACTATATCTAGCACTGGGAAGGGGTGAGGATATGGATTTGGGATGGGATGAGGGGAAGGAATGGTGCCCGACCGCTTGGACGGTTGGGGATCTAACGCCGACCTGCATGAAGCGAGACTGTTGCTCTACCATACAGCCAAAGTGATTGGGCAAGCCAGAGACATTGGAGGGAATGTTGTCAGCTGCATCAGAGCTTGGGTGAAGGCTGGAAAGCAGTTAGCATCAATGTGGCGAAGTTGGGAGTTGAAAAACGTCATTAGTGGCATGTCCCTCGAGATTGGTACTGGCACCATTGTTGTGAACAGTAATACCAGCAAGTTTGCAGACCACAAAAGTGAGTGAATAGTAATCTTGAATGGACATTGTGGAAAACCTGCAGAAAGACTTCATCACATTATAGAACTTTGGATAAATGGGGCAGATACAGTTGAATATTGATTGATAAGTGCAATCTTAAACACTGGAGATGGTGATAAACAGTATTATTGGATGAATGCTGCATATGGGCAAATAGTTGCAAAGAAATCGTAGGGTTATGATTGGCAGTGACCTAGAGACTTGGCCAACAGTGTGTCAATGGCATTGACAAAGCACATGGCATATATATATATAGTTTGCTTTTAACCAGAACATCAGCAATAAATGGAAACATGGTCCTTAAGACTTTCGCATCCCTGGTGTGCTCAGGGGAAAGAGTGTTCCCCCATGAGCACGTGCCCACACGCATCCCTGGCGTGCTCAGGGGAAAGAGTGTTCCCCCATGAGCACGTGCCCACACTAAAATGTGTATACTCTTCAGTTTTTGTGTTGTCATTCATTTTGGTATCAAATTGTTCATAATAGAATTCTCTATAGAGAGAGATGCATATTAGGTCAAAAAGCCCGGCGTGCCACCCACAGCAAATCCAAAAGTTGCCCGAGCATTACCCGTGAGCGAGCGCGCAACCACTAAAATGTGTAAAAACTCTTCAGTTTTCTCACCTCAATTTTCATGCTACATTGTTCATTCTGGTATCGAAGGTTTCACAATCTAAAGGTGTGCATTTTAAAACTAGTACAGTACCATCTTGAGGTTATCTTGAGATGATTTCTGGGCTTTTTAGTGTCCCCGTGGCCCGGTCCTCGACCAGGCCTCCACCCCCAGGAAGTGGCCCGTGACAGCTGACTAACACCCGGGTACCTATTTTACTGCTAGGTAACAGGAGCATAGGGTGAAAGAAACTCTGCCCATTGTTTCTCGCCGGCACCCGGGATCGAACCTGGGACCAAAGGATCACAAGTCCAGTGTGCTGTCCGCTCGGCTGACCGGCTCCCATAATCAGAAAACAAATGGAATTTTAACAAATTTAAATTTTGGACGCCATATGCGTCCCAGGCGGACATCCGCAGAGTTATTTGTGGACGTCGACTACGTCCCCGGAGGACAAGTGTTAAATTATATTTGGCCCTGATTCAGGCACATGCTGACTATGCCATCTAATTCTGGTCACTGTACTTGCCCAGAGCAATACTGTATTGCGTAGTGGGTGTGGCTTGTGGTCACCATATTGCGTAGTGGGTGTGGCTTGTGGTCGCCATATTGCGTAGTGGGTGTGGCTTGTGGTCACCATATTGCGTAGTGGGTGTGGCTTGTGGTCACCATATTGCGTAGTGGGTGTGGCTTGTGGTCACCATATTGCGTAGTGGTGGTCACCATATTGCGTGGGGTGTGTGTGTCACCATGTTGCGTAGTGGGTGTGGCTTGTGGTCACCATGTTGCGTAGTGGGTGTGGCTTGTGGTCACCATGTTGCGTAGTGGGCGTGGCACCATTGTGGTCACCATGTTGCGTAGTGGGCGTGGCTTGTGGTCACCATGTTGCGTAGTGGGTGTGGCTTGTGGTCACCATATTGCGTAGTGGGTGTGGCTTGTGGTCACCATGTTGCGTAGTGGGTGTGGCTTGTGGTCACCATGTTGCGTAGTGGGTGTGGCTTGTGGTCACCATATTGCGTAGTGGGTGTGGCTTGTGGTCACCATATTGCGTAGTGGGTGTGGCTTGTGGTCACCATATTGTGTAGTGGGTGTGGCACCATTGTGGTGGCACCATGTTGCGTAGTGGGTGTGGCTTGTGGTCACCATATTGCGTAGTGGGTGTGGCTTGTGGTCACCATGTTGCGTAGTGGGCGTGGCTTGTGGTCACCATATTGCGTAGTGGGCGTGGCTTGTGGTCACCATATTGCGTAGTGGGCGTGGATTGTGGTCACCATATTGCGTAGTGGGCGTGGATTGTGGTCACCATATTGCGTAGTGGGCATGGATTGTGGTCACCATGTTGCGTAGTGGGCGTGGATTGTGGTCACCATATTGCGTAGTGGGCATGGATTGTGGTCACCATGTTGCGTAGTGGGCGTGGATTGTGGTCACCATATTGCGTAGTGGGCATGGATTGTGGTCACCATGTTGCGTAGTGGGCGTGGATTGTGGTCACCATATTGCGTAGTGGGCGTGGATTGTGGTCACCATATTGCGTAGTGGGCGTGGATTGTGGTCACCATATTGCGTAGTGGGCGTGGATTGTGGTCACCATATTGCGTAGTGGGCGTGGATTGTGGTCACCATATTGCGTAGTGGGCGTGGATTGTGGTCACCATATTGCGTAGTGGGCGTGGATTTACTTCAGACATGAGATGAAGTTGGAAAGGCAAACAAGTCAAACATTTCTCTGGGAATTTGTGGTGCATTAGTTTAGTGTATTTTAGGAATGTTGTTCAGTTTGAAAGTTCATCTTGAATAGGGATATTTGAGTCAAAGAATGAGTTATGTACTTAAGTGCTTGTTATTCTGTATAAGAGCTGTTTATAGTTGTTATTGAGTGCATGGACTAATGAGCTAAGTACATGGTGTAATGTATAATTATAAGCTTTTGTAAGAAAACTGATGTTTGTTTTGTTTCAACAGCCATGACTCCGTTGTTTGCCTCATAAGCATCAACACACATCACAAGAGTGCACAAGTGGCCATCATATAGAACCCAATCACGGAAGTGACCGTTTCTCCAGAAGACCTTGGAAATGTTGGGAGCAAATGAGAGAACATTTTATCACACACCTCTCCTTCCTATATATTTTCTTTCCCAGTAAACCTGCCCCCGATGCTTTGTAAACTTTGTGATTAGTATTCTGGGCTGCCTTGTGATGAGGCAGCCTGCTCGATCCCCTATACCCCAACACTTCAGCCGGCAGTGAATCAGTTCTCAATTTAGGTGTCATCTTTTGGATCCAATTATCCTGTGAGAAAAACAGATTACTGTCATATCTTCATTTTATCATCAAAGCCTTATTAGTGATGACTATTTTAGTACTGGTATTTATTGATTATTGCTTGTATTTAAGATGTTACACCAGTAGTCTCTTCCCCCCTTCCCCCCCCCTTTTATTTTTTGAGAATTAGCTGATGCTGTGGGAGTATGTACACAGCAGGATTTCTGTATGTGCTTTTATGGTAACTTGAATGAATGTTTAGAAACTCATAATATTAAAGGAAGAGAACCACGATTGTCTCGACTTTGGTGCATTAGTGGACGAGTTCGGCTGTCTCTCTTCAGTGCCCCGGAATATTGGAACACTTTAGTCATGATGAAACAAAAAATTATATATATAAATTAGAACATGACATAGTCAGTTGCAACATAAATACCTTGGGATCAGAAGACAAGACATTGTCAAAGTGGAAGCAAAGGACAAGACCATAATGTGTAAGCCATTGGAGCGTCTCCATAACCTTGGTGGTGTCCCCCCATAAAGGAGTTGACTGCAGATGTGGATAATAGAGTGGCTGGAGCTTGGGGATGGAGACGCTCCAACACCATTACCAGTTCTGAGGCCGTTTAGGTTTTTGTTTACTACACTTAATCTGCTATAGAGCCAAATTTATCTACAATCACATATATACTTTTACATTCAACCAATGGAAAACAAAATTCTGCATTTTTAATTGTTTTTGAGATGGGATTTATTGTTAGTGGCAATATATTAGATGGACTAATTACTAGTGTGACAGATGGGGGGACCTTTGCCATCTCTGCTCCTCTTACGTCACCTTCTTCCACTCACTTTTATTTTATTGATTTTTTTTATATAATATATACATATATAATTTTGCAAGAGATAAAAAGAAATAGCAATCCATTTTTGTTTAACATTTATTGTTCATGTGATGAGCTATGATGCTAATGTATTCTATAACTTTTCTGTACAAATAAATATTCCATAGTGGACGTGCTGTTCAGTAACCAGACGTGTGAAGAATGTTTGTTGCGAAGGCTGCAAGATGAACATGTAAACAAGGACTTGTTTAACTCCTAAAGTAGAGTTAAAGTCCCCAACTGTGAAAGTGATTAGGCATCTTTCCTCCTCGGTCCCGTCCCAAATCCATTTCTTGACTACTCCCAGGTGCTATATAGTTGTTATGGCTTGGCACTTTCCTCTGCTAATTCCTTCCCTTCCCTTATAAAGTGAGGCACTGATCAAAGCTGCCTCTATGCCTGGCTATGGAGAAAATAGATAAATTTATACATTTTCATGTAAAATGCAAAAATATAAACTTTTTTTTAATTTGTCACATGAAGCTGGTACTATGGAAGAGGGCCACTTAGGCCCTGGGTCATGGAAGCGGTGTTGCTTACTAAACATGTGCAGGAAAGTATCGTATTGACCTAGTTGTGCTTGCGGGGGTTGAGCTCTGCTCTTTCCGCCCGCCTCTCTACTGTCACTCTAGCTGGGGGGGGGGGTTCCCCTCGCCCACAACACTGCTCTCTCCCCTCCCCCCTTCCCCTTCCAGGAAGCAGCCCGTAACAGCTGTCTAACTCCCAGGTACCAGTTTACTGCTAGGTAAACGGGCCTCAGGGTGAAAGAAACTGCCTATTTGTTTTCTCCCATCACCGGGGATCGAAGCCCGACCCTAGGATTACGAATCCTAAGTACTGTCCACTCAGCCACAGGGCCCCTTGTGGTAAGCTTGCTAGGAGAGCCTTTATTTCCTACTTCACTGGTTAACAAAATATAGGCCTAATTGACAAAAAAAGTATTATATATAGGCTTACAATGTGAGTTTTGATGGAAACACGTAATAATTATTCTCACCGAAGCCCAATGACCCTAGCAGTTAGACCCATCAGTCTCGTGTCATGCACTTGCAAGATGCTTGAAAGGATCATCCTAAACCGACAGTTGCACAAAATAGGCAGGTTAGGGGAGGGGGTTAATGAATTTGTTAAAGGACGGAGCACGGCAAACTATAGTTAATTATTTGACTAATGACACGGCTAGGTACCCTGTATTTGTTGACATCAAAGGAGCCTTCGACACAAAGCGCAGGGGATTGCGATCCTGGACGAGCTTGCACGCATGGGTCTGGTTCTCATCTTCCTCAATCTTTCCTTACCTGGTTGATGGGGTACTGGGAGTTCTTCTACTCCCCAAGCCCGGCCCGGGGCCAGCTCGACTTGTGAGAGTTTGGTCCACCAGGCTGTTGCTTGGAGCGGCCCGCAGGCCCACCACAGCCCGGTTGGTCCGGCACTCCTTGCAGGAACCAGTCTTGTTTACCTCTTGAAGATGTCTACAGTTGTTCCGGCAATATTTCTTATGCTCACTGGGAGGACGTTGAACAACCGTGGACCTCTGATGTTCATACAGTGTTCTCTGATTGTGCCTATGGCACCTCTGCTCTTCACTGGTTCTATTCTGCATTTTCTTTCATATCGTTCACTCCAGTACGTTGTTATTTTACTGTGTAGATTTGGGGCCTGGCCCTCCAGTATCTTCCACGTGTATATTATTTGATATCTCCAGATCTTATTTCTAGAGAGTACATTTGGAGAGCTTTGAGATGATCCCAATAATTTAGGTGCTTTATCTCGTCTACGCGTGCCGTATATGTTCTCTGTATTCCCTCTATTTCAGCAATCTCTCCTGCTCTGAAGGGGGAAGTGAGCACTAAGCAGTACTCAAGACGGGACAACACAAGTGACTTGAAGAGTACGACCATTGTGATGGGATCCCTGAATTTGAAAGTTCTTGTAATCCATCCTATCATTTTTCTGACTGACGCAATATTTGCTTGGTTATGCTCCTTAAACGTTAGGTCGTCGGACATCATTATTCACAAATCCTTGACATGCTGTTTTCCTACTATGGGCACATTTGATTGTATTTTGTACCCTGTATTATGTTTAAGGTCCTCATTTTTACCGTTATCTTCTTGAGGTTATCTTGAGATGATTTCGGGGCTTTTTAGTGTCCCTGCGGCCCGGTCCTCGACCAGGCCTCCACCCCCAGGAAGCAGCCCGTGACAGCTGACTAACACCCAGGTACCTATTTTACTGCTAGGTAACAGGGGGCATAGGGTGAAAGAAACTGCCCAATGTTTCTCGCCGGCGCCTGGGATCGAACCCAGGACCACAGGATCACAAGTCCAGCGTGCTGTCCGCTTGGCCGACCGGCTCCGAGTACCTGGAATTTAACACTTAAACATCATGTTATTTTCTGCTGCCCAGTCGAAAACTTTATTAATATCTGCTTGAAGTTTTTTCAATGTCTTCAGTCGAGGTAATTTTCATGCTGATTTTTGGGTCATCTGCTTAAATGAGCGTGCGGATGCTGCTGCTACGGAAGCTATCCACACTTGTCCCATTTCCCGTAAAGGCATTCCTCATTCTGACTTATCCAGTTATTCATTCCTCCATCCTTGCCCGTTGGCTGGGTTGTTGGTCTTCTGTTACTGGTAACAAACTGCGTGCTCTTAAGAGTAGTGTCCCAGTGGCCTTCTTCCTACCACCACAACCGGCGATGGGAAACGGTTCTGGCTAGGTTATGTATTGCCCATACATGTTTAACTCACGGTCACTTAATGGGAGCGCCGCCCTGCTCCCTATCGTCCAAATTGAATTGTTCCTCTTACGTCATGCACATTCGTGTTGAATGTGCATGACTTCCAAGATGAGCGTGTGTCCTTCCGACCCTCCCTCGCGGTCAAAAATGCCGCGCGGTGTAAAAATGACCTGCCAGCTTGGAATATCCTAAAAAAAACCTTCTAGATAACATGACGCATGAACGGAAAACATCGTTCATTGGAAGCCTACCAGCCATCCAGAAAGAGTGGGAAAGGAACAACAATAATTATAATATACCAGGGGCGGAGGCTATAGTCAGGGATGAAACTGAAGCAGAAACTCAGGAAGTTCTAAACTCAGAAGTTCTGACTCAGTAGGCCAGGATGTAGATGACAGTAAACTAGAAATTGTACCAGACAGCACTGACAGCTCGATAGGTACAGACGCTACAACGGTTCCCGATAGAGCGGGTCAGACCACAAGGACAGACATATGCAAATTTTATGCAGAGGGAATATGCAGACATATAGATATGCTGGTAATAAGACAGTATTAGAATGCAGTTACCAACATCCCAAAATATGTTTAAATATGCTTAGGAAAGGTGAGTGTCGATTTGGATCAATATGTAGGTTTTTCCATCCTGACATGTGCCAAACCTCACTGGAGGACAGAAAATGCTATGACCTCAGCTGCCCACACTTTCACGTGAAAGGCACGGAACGCTACATAAAGAGTGGCAAGCAGGATAATGAATTTGGAGGAAACTCGATAATTTTTTTATATCAAACCGAAAGAGAATTCAAAAGGAGCAGCATGGAGAGTGTATGGAACTGGATGCCAGATCCACTTGCATTCCAGAATTACAGATACAATTACACACCAAAAGGGAACTACAACTACGACAGACAACTGCCCTACAACAATCTGTAGCGAGTAGATTATCCAATAATATACTCGCTCCAAATGCATTGTTAATATTCCTGTCAACCTTTGGAGATGAATGAGGTGAGGCGTTGCCCGGGCAATACGGTGAGGAGTTGCCCGGGCATATAAGCAGCAGGATAGCAAACATTAACCAGAGTCTACTTTCAAGTGTGGTCTAGAGCAGACACTTGCGAGATACTGTACCGACGCTCAGTGCGCTCAACTCACACCAAAGTATCACCTGTGTACTTCTGTATATTCGACCAAATATATATATAGTATCTTAGTGTCTGTGTTTATTTGTCACCATACTTTACGTAACAATAGAACCGTTACATTGGTGACCCCAGAGAGTTTCGACGATACCCAGCCACGATGGACTACAACATGGACTCTCACTGGACCTCCACTGCTGCTGCTTGCTGTGGACCGCAGTCACCTGTCGTGGAACGTTGCCAACACCCTCGCCACAGCTATGATTTTCATCGCGATCATCTCTGCATTTTCATCTACTACGGCTTGCTGCTCCACGATCACTACTCACTCATCTGGCAGCTTCATCAGTAACTACATAATGTGGGATCTACAGCCTGTCCGGCCGACTCTCCGTCGCTGCCAGGGCACTGCTTGTTCTACAGGGGCGCCCACGAAAGCTGCTCTTTCGTCAGATTCATCTACACGTTCACTGCATTTTGATACTCTGCCGACTCAAGCCCTTTGCGCAGTACAGGACTTACAGCTTGCGTTTCCGACTCTTCGTCGCCTCCAGGACAATTCAGCTCTAGCAGTGATTCCCTCGTTGTCCTAACTACGTGCCTACATTACCTCCTAATGTCCTGGTGCCCGAGCCCATCCGCCCCGGATCTAAATGCTCCACCAGCGACCCAAGGACGCAACAATTATGCACATTCTTCTCTCCTGCTACACCGAGCTTGTCCACACACTGCCTACATCTTTTGGTACCAGACTACAATTTCCACAGTCAACAATGTAGTACTCGGCGTGTACAGTCCTAATCAACCCAAGACGCTACAGCTTCGACACAGAGCAGACAGCAGACTACGACCGCATCGAGCCGCCACGCTCTCCCACATAGAGCTCCACGACTCCGGCCTCACTCAGCTCTCTGCTCTGCTCCAGGCTTCGTCTCAACGTCTGCGACACTGCTAAATCCAGAGACACATCCGCCGACTACGCAGTTCACTTTTCAACCCCAGAATTACCAGCCGCACCACAACCTGATCCTACGACGACGGACGATCCTGCACGTGCGACCTCCCACCCTACGACCCCAGTTAGATGACATCAGCGAAGAGGAGGAAGTTAACTTTGATGGTTATGTAACGCGAGCAGGGCGTACAATTCACTGACCAGCTAAGTTCCTTGATCAAGTATTTTTCCTTTCATCCCCTGGGAGGGGGAGTTCTGTAGCGAGTAGATTATCCAATAATATACTCG